TACAACATTGTCACACACAACATTTCCTGGTCACACACAGCACTTTCACACACAACTCTTTCACACACACACACAGCTCTATCACACACACACACAATTCTTTCACACAATCTGTCTTCCCCATCCCATTTTCACACCTATTTTGAGCTTGTTGGAAGAAGTTGACATGTGGGGTTATCCGGTCCTTTAATTTTCAAAAAACGCGCAGGTTTGTATACCATGTTTGGCTTTTGCTACCTAATTTCCAAGGTTTCTTGAAACATTTATACCCACATTTCCGGGCTACTCTCAAATACCATCCCCAAAACAAAAACTGCGGGAAATTAGTATACATCGCTGTTCATGGTGAAACAACATAATAAACTACCCTTCCTTAGTTGGTTTAACCATTTATATCCTGTTTTGTGCTGGTTATGCCGACACTTTTTATTGATGAGTGATTAGCATCCTATTGGCTATTGATATTGCTTGTCAGCACATTTCACCAAATTCAACCAACAAATAATACTTTGTATTGACCTTTTCCTCTCCCTCCGTCCAAAAAGTCTGCTGCATTAATCATGTTGTCTAACAGCTTATGTTTTTTCCTATACCCCATTATGGCACGATTATGGCAATACATGAAACCATCAACTTGTGCAGATCTCGAGCCACGCACCAGAAGGAAGCTTCGATAGCTGTGGGAGACCTTACCCTCAGCAGAGACGGCACCGTCTCCGTTTTCTCCGCCCATCATCTGGCGGTCAAAGATCCAACCTACGCTGCAAGTCCCCGTGCCGCGCCCCCAAATGGCGCTATGGGGATGATGTTTTAAGCCAAAGACCAAAAAAGAACATGGGGTGTACCATGCAAGGATACATATATATATATATATTAATGTATATGTATACGTACACAAAATACATACAAAATTGCGTTTATATAACATGCTTTAAACATATTAAATAAATAGTATTTATGGATATCTATGGGCATAACGTGTTTCACCGCCCCCACCCAGTGTTTTCAAGTACTCTATATGTGCACGTTTCAGAGATGTTGTGCACGTTTCAGAGATGCTGTGCACGTGTCAGAGATTTTGCGCACGTGTCAGAGATGTTGTGCACGTGTGAGAGATGTTGTGCACGTTTCCCAGCAGTTGCGCACGTTTCACGGAAGTTGTGCACCTGTCACAGAAGTTGTGCACGTTTCACAAGCCCCCTAATAACGTTCGTGTTCAACTGTATACACACTGAGAGCATTCTAATCAGCAAAAGCATTGGGGCGACCAAACACATTCTCCCGATATGTATATATATATAGTTATTAATATTATTTACTATTACTATTATTGTTATTATTATTATTAAGATTATAGAACCAAACAGCGTGCCATGCCCCCCAAAAAAGTACTACAGTATACTACAGTTACTACAGTTCTAGTACGTTCTAGTTTCGTAGAATGGTAGGGAAAAACATCATATAATCTTTGCAAAACGGGGCTAGCAAGCATGGTTCTTAGTTTCGACCAGCCCCAATCAAATACATATGCCGGTAGTTACTAATCCACTTATAAGCAACCAAACATGGGGAATAGAAACAAAAAAATAAGATAAAATCACCAACCTTGATGCAGATAATCGCTCTCCTTTTTTTTTGCATGGATAAACAATCTTAAGAAATGCTTCCGTGAATCATCACCAGGCAACGGGGTCGTAAATCCTGCAGCTCCGGCAGCTGCCAGAGCGCAAAGTGAAAGAGTTGCATGACACTTGCGAAGGAGGACTCGCGAAAACGCTTCATGCAGCCCACCAAATTCCTGGAGCACATTTTCCGTTGCTTGGGCAACCAAAAAACGGATGAGTCATGATTAGTCCCAAGAGATTCCCCAGGTTTGGAAAATCAAAAAATCATTTGGAAAAAATCAAAAAACATCAAAGCGAATCCAGGATTCCCAACAGGTACGTGCGTGAAAAGTTCACCTCCTGTCCTGAGCGAGACGAGTGGGTTGTGATGGTTTGGTTTGTCCAAACAAAAAAAAAATGGGCCCCCCCGATATGTAGTTTTTTTTTTTTTTACATGGGCCAAAATTTGTCGAAACAATGAGCAGCCTAGATCATCCTATAGATCCATATAATCCATATTATGTAATCAATTTTCGGCATATTTCGGCATCAAAAATGCAAAGGAATGTAAGATTAGAACCCTCTTGTTTTGTTTTCTTCTTTCTGGGGGATCACAAAGGTTTTCTACCTCTCCTTCATCATGATCTCCATCATCATGATCATGATCATGATCATCATCGTCGTCATCGTCGTCACCATCGTCATCATCGTCATCGTCATCGTCATCATCATCATCATCACCATCATCATCATCATTGTCACGTTTTCAATCACACAAATGTATATATATATATTGTTTCATCATGAGTTTACTGTTACCACTTTGATAACCACCGCCAAGCAACAACAATCATGTACTTTTGGTTCTGGAAACTGTCAACCTATTCAAGTAAACAAGTTCCAAAACAACCGAAAACATCCATTAATTTCCATGTTTAACCATAAGAGAAACATATCGCTATTATCATTGTTTTATTGTTTGTTTTTCTCATGACAATGACATACTACGTTTCATTGCAGTTCATTTTACAATTCATTGTCATTTCATTTGAGGTTTCATGTCACATGTCATTATAGAATTGGTTTGATGATTCATTTTGTAAAATTTCATGTTAGATGACACTTTACGTCTCATGTTTCCTTTCATTAGAACTCACATGTCGTTGATGTGCCATTTTACATGTCATTTTGCCACCTTCAGAACCTATGTGTAGCCACCATCATTGTCATTTATTATTTTACATGTATAGATGCATCATGACTTAAATCCATTAGTGGACTTCATCACCTCCAAAACTCACCACAACTCACATTCTAGATCATTTTACCAGCTTTGTTCAATACATGTTGAAAACATACAGCATCAACTTCGCATCAGCACTTCCGCCGTTCAGCCGTGGCGAGTCGCAGGTACATCAGCTCATCACACTGCGACCAGCGCCAGGCACGTCGCCCGCTCTCCGCCACCTCCTCGCGCAGCCGCCGCGCGACCGCCGTCCGCGCGCCAAGGTGCCGCTGAGCGGCGCGGGTGACGCGCAGCAGATTGCGGCGGAGGCGACGTAGGACGTGGACGGCACCACTCCTGAGATCAATGGCTTTTTTGGAGATGTCAATGGGAAATAATCATGGGATCTAGTCAATGATACCGTATACCAGTGATACCAATGATATATTATTCATATGTATACATATATGTATATATATATTGATATTAGAGATATGTTATGTCAAATTAGTGGATATTTTGGTGATGTTGTAATCCATATGCAATAGGGTTATAGGGATACACCCAACAAGAAATATCTGGACCAATTTTACAGAAACAATATCTATACCCTTCGGTGTCATCAAACATGGCTAGCTGGGAAATCCGCGAAATAAATGGGCACTGAAAAAGGACAATCGTTGCATGAGGATTTGATGAATATAAATTTGGTAGACATGGAAAATGCTAACCATCTATGTTTTTTTGCATTCGGTGGTTCATCATCAGGTTCATCTTCATCATCCGTCAACCAAAGGAGTAAGTGGCGTTTGCTTGTGTGCTTGACAGAGCAAGGAAGAACAAAAATCACTTCAGAGCAAAGATTTTCAGAGAGAAAACTTCACACTCTGAAGCAGAAAAAAAAACACAGAAAACACCAAGCCCCAGCCATGTTTAGGTACCAGAGGGTGGATGGATGGATTCAAATGACTGAAAGATATTGAAATATCATATCCATGAAAATCCTACCTTTAGAAGCTTAAAGATCTATGAATCAGGCATCCATGTAAATTTGAATGGTCAGAGATGGGATAACTTTATTGGTGCCGGGTACATTTTCTTACGTGGTCAGAACAGAGAGATGACTGGGTTGAAGTATATGACTGGTTGGTGAACCGACCATTTTTTTGAATTTAAGTCGTGAATACCGTGAATACTGCATGTTAATGGGATGGGGTATCAAAAAGACAAAATCACTCCTGCGAGATCTTATATCATAGAGGTTTAGACAATCCATGAATAAGTTGTTATAATTGTTGGCTGGATATGTTTTTCGTGTTCATTGTCATGTTGTTTTTGGGATTACCAGGTTCGACTATCTTCGATTGCGGGGATCAAACCCAGTCAGGTTGGAATCCCAGCATTCTATGGATAGAAAAGTCGAAAAGTTAGGCCTGGACCCCCCATGGTCCAATTGGTAGAATGAACACAAACAAAAACAAGAAATGAAGCCACCAACCAGTTCATTGGTTCGTACACTGCAAGGCCCAAAGTTTATAAATTGTATAAAACACACATATGGAGTTTGATCTAAACTCCTTTATCTGCAAACGGCCATTCTTCGCGATTAAACAAATTACTTTCGCGAATCTGTCCCGAACCCCATGTCTATCTATTTTGTTTTGCTAAATCTTTCGCCCCAAAAAATACTGTCGCAAACTCAGACAAAAACTTTCGCGGGGTCTCATGTTGGAACCCTGGCGGCCTTTGTAGTGGACAATCTCTACATGGACCTTTAGATCGACAAGCATAATACATGTATGATAAATAGCCGGCACTCCCTTATTTTGGATGATTGAATCATCAGAGTTGTTGGACACTTGGTTGGACACGATGCCCAATTTGTTGATACGTACTTACAAATTTGCAAAGTTATGCAAAATTAAGCTGATGCAATCAATAATGAAACCAACTGTTTTCCACCCCCAACTGACCTTGTGGAACCAATCATCTATCTTTGTGATATTAACAACTTCTCAGCATTTCAGCATCCAGTACAAGTACCAAGGATAGACAAACAGCAACTGATATAGCCAACATTAGCGAACATGATATTCATTGATAGAATCGCAACCTCCATAGTATTAAGCTACACTGACTATGGCTTAGCTGTTGCTATGACCAAATTAGCAGTGGTCAAACCCACCAAATTCCCTTGAATTGACCATGCATGTCAGTTGTACGGTGGGAATTGAACTCATCCAGGGTCATGATAGACATGATACTCCACTATATAAATGGATCCCCACACAACCGCACATATTATAATATATATATGTATATATATATATATATACGTAGAGTGCAAAACATATATATATATACACACATATATATATATATGTGTGTATTCCAATATATTCCCCTGTTCACATCCGTATGGTTGATGGAGATCCCCCAATCAACGAACACCATTACGTCTTTGCCAACTTTCCACTTCCATGGCTCCACTTTTCAGCGTGAAGATTGCAGAGCCCCTCTTTGTAAGAGCAAAAATCGAACAGACCCTTTCCTGCATCCAAGAGTGGGATAGAGTGGGTGAATTGGACCATGGAAGTTGGCGATTTTCGGCTACGCTTAATCATAATCATTCCAACTGATGGATGGCCCTTTGGTAATCTAAGTTCTGAAGTGGAAATCCCCACTTTGAATGGGAAATCCCCACTCTGTAATGGAAAGCAGTGGAACAAACATGAACAATCATCTATATATGCGGGGAAAAAGGAGATGAGTGTTTCGTTCATATTTCTTACACCTGATGGCTGATGGCAAAACCTGAGGTATAGTGAGACCACTGTCTAAGAACCTACTGCAATAAGAACTTCAGGGGCTGGATTGCTGGATTCAACCCTTTCTGTCAGCTAAGTGAAATAAGAACCATAGGGTACCCTGGAATTCTAGCCACTGGTTCTTATTCCCCTTGACGGATATCAATATACCAAACATTGATTATTAGCAGCTATTTCCCACAAGAAAGATTATGTACCGCGGACCTCAATGCCAAGGACAAACATGGTGCGTCCCCAGGGAGATGTGAATCCTTACGTGGTCACCAAGGCTGATGTCGACAGCTTCAGTCAGGCACCAGCCGGAAACACTGAAGGTCATCTGACCTCGGAGGCTGCCCTTGGCTTGGCTTGTCTTGGCTTGTCTTGCCTGTGCTGCCTTGTTTCGGGCGCCCAAATCAAAGACAAACTTTCGGGACCTGAAAGTGTTTTTCTTCCCCCAGCCTCCTTTGCAACCTAATACCACGCCAAAATCAACTTTCAAGCCCTGGCATTGCGGAATATCTGGCCTATAGCTCTATTTGGAATGCCTGCGCCTGAAAAAACTTTTCGGGACCTAAAAAGTGTTTTTCTTGCCCCCGCCTCCTTTGCAACCTAATACTACGCCAAAATGAATTGGCAAAACCCTCACCATATGAACCCTTAAGAACTAACCCATTAAGAACTTGAGGGTGCCCTCGTTCATAATTCCCATATTTTTCCATCTATAGCACTTAAGAACCCAGGGTAGGCTGGAAAATTCTTAATCGGTTCTTATCTAACGGTTCCGCTGTACCCGTGCAAATGGGCCAAGGAAAGCCACCTGAAGATTCAGAAGACAATCCATTACATTCCATTGCCATGTTCAGGATTCAACAGTTTTCTATTTTGGGAGCTAGCGAAAGGACATCTTGGAGCCATCCTGCATTTCTTGCTCAGTCCAATCTCGAAGGTGAGTTTGGGCTCGTTAAAAAAATAATTAAACAATATTCAACATCCGTAGTTGTTCAGTATTTTCCATCTATTCGGATAAACATTGTCAATCTGAGATGGTCCACATTTAGTATGTTGTTACAGTGATTTTCTTTTCCAAAAACTAAAGGATGAAACTACCCGTCCAACGGTTCTTTTTTGGTGACCATCACCCCCCCTGGCTAGTTTCCTAAGGCCAAACTCGTGGCCGTGTGCTGTGCGCAAAGACTCGCCAGCGGTGCTGCATGGGGCAGCTCCGAAAAGTCGAAGGCGGCCGTACCTGGGGAATTCTGATGGATTGAACTTGATTACCCTCTGGTAAACTAAGATAGCTGTGGAAAATCACCATCTTTAATAGGTGAATCAACTATAAATGACCATTTTTCAATAGCTATGTTAAATTACTGGAGAGTATCATCTGAGTATCAAAATGGATTGAAAGGGGAAATAACATGATAAGGCTTGATGGTTAAAAGATGGATTGCTCATTTAAGATGGATTGAACATGATTGAAAGGGGGGAATCTGACCAGCATTTTCTGGAAAATCATCAAGCATGAAAAACACAAACCGCATCTTAACTATAAACAACACGTTGCCTCCAAGCCGGACGTTCGCCCGCCACTTATAGGTTCAACAGGGATCAAATCTCTGACCCCCTCTGTACGAATATTGAATGGGATATTAACTTCAACTTATCTTCGCAAGGGATCAGATCCCACCCCCTCTGAACAATATATTGAATGGGATATAACTAATCGAAGCAAGTTTAGAAGTCAAACTTCCGACAATATTGAGTGGGAAGAGTCAGAGAAGAGAAGACGAGCAGAAGAGAGAAGATGAGAGAGAAAGAGTGAGAAGAGACAAGATGCAGGTGTGCAAAAAGGTAGAAAAGTCGCGAAAGACTGTGTTTTTGTTCAATGATTTGTGGCTCTGGAGCGTCGAAAAGTAGGCTCGCTAAAGCGGCGGGTGCGGAGCCATCTGGCCAGATGAGTGTCGACAAGTTGCACACCGTTGTGGCGCAAAACGCATTTGGAAGTCAAAATGTACAAAACACACCATGTTCGGACCACTTTTGGAAGTTGAGATGTCGAAAAAGTGCACACTTTTTTTTGGCGCGAAGCACATTTCGAAGTCAAAATGTACAAAACACACAAAGTTTAGACCACTTTTGGAAGTTGTGATGTCGAAAAAGTGCACACTTTTTTTTGGCGCGAAGCACATTTCCAAGTCAAAATGTACAAAGCACACCAGGTTCGGACCACTTTTGGAAGTTGAGATGTCGAAAAAGTGCACACCGTTGTGGCCCGAAGCACATTTCGAAGTCAACATGTGCAAAGCACACCATGTTCGGACCACTTTTGGAAGTTGAGATGTCGAAAAAGTGCACACCGTTGTGGCGCGAAGCACATTTCCAAGTCAAAATGTACAAAGCACACCAGGTAGTTGAGATGTCGAAAAAGTGGACGCAGTCGTGGCGCGAAGCACATTTCCAAGTCAAAATGTACAAAACACACCAGCTTCGTTCGGAGCACTTTTTGAAATTGACATGTCGAAAAATTGCACGCCGTTGAGGCCGGAAGCGCATTTCCAAGCCCAAAAATGTTAAGAACACCACATGCTCGGACCGATTTTGAAAGTTCAGATGTGGTTTTCCGTGGCAGGCACAAGGGATTCTGCACCTTGCCAAAAGTGAGCAAAACGTGAGGGCTTTGCGGCATTTCCAAAAATTATGATGGCAGGCATGGGACATTTGAAGAGGACCTGGAAAGATGCATTTTCCGTGGCATGCGCAGTACAAAAGACATGTTCATCAGAGATGTTCGGAGGTCAGGGCGCTGATTTCTTGAGAGAGGTTGCATTTTGGAGCATCAGGTCTTCAGGTTTGCTAAGATGATTTTGCATGACCGGTGCAGCACTTCCTATGACCTGGCATTACTTTTGCTTCAGGCGCAGCACTTTACACAGATGGAGCGGAAAAATCGCAAAACGCATTGGTACGAGGCCGTCAGCTCTGCACTCAACTTTCCATTTTTGAAGGAAGTCTCACAGAATTGCTATGATTTTGATGTTGTCAAATTCGAAAATTGAGGACGTCTGGCAGAGTTGCTTCGCTTTCAAGCTTGCAGATAGACAGATAGACAGATAGATAGATAGATGGATAGATAAATATATCCAGCATTTGTGGGTGAGGTGACCACTGCAGCCACTCCAAAAAGCACAACTCCAACCACCTTTCGGTCCATCCGTGGATTCGCTCTGCCATCCGTGATTCACAGCAACCAACCTCTCCTATAGGTTTCCTATTTTTGAAACTTACGCCACCGCCTTGTGTGGTACTACTGGTGTACATAGGGCAGCCAAACGTCATCTGCAGCGAACATGTGTTGTAACCATCAACAAGTGCAATAGCGGCTCAATACAGTAGTGTGTTTTAATCATTAAAATGCGCAACAGCCGATCAACAAAAAGGTGTTTATATATGTATACAGCAACAAATATAACAAATGCAAATCACAATATTTCACCTTAAAACAGCAACTTTGGCAAGATTTCCTCAAACAATCCCACACCCCAAAAGAAATGAGGGCGGCACCCCGTGAGGGAATGAAATTTCATTAAACATGATGATAAATCACTGTAAATACCAATGTTTTATGCACTTGGAGGGTCTAAAACCCTAGTAAAACGCACTTTTTTCATCTTGATCTTGACATGAGATATGCAAAAACATTGACAGGCACAAAAAAAACACTAGATGCACCAAACATCGACAGGCACCAAAAAAACACAATTTCCAGCAACTACTCAGAAGTGGACCCATAGGTCATGGATTCAAGTTTTTTTTGTTTTTTTGGGGGCCTGTGCAGGTTTGGTGCATCTACTGGTTTTGTTTTGTTGTTTTGTTGGTGCCTGTGCAGGTTTTGTGACTCTGACTTCACAAAACATTGACAGGCACCAATTAAAAAAAACAAAACCAAACCACTAGATGCACCAAACATCGGCAGACACCAAAAAAAAATCAATGTCCAACAACTACTCAGAAATGGACCCATAGGTCCTGGATATTTTCTTGTTTTTGCCTGTGCAGGTTTGGTGGCTCTGACTTCACAAAACATTGACAGGCAGCAACAGGAAAAAAAACACTAGATGCACTCAGATGCACCAAACATCGACAGGCACCAAACAAAAAAAAAAGATCCAGCAACTACTCAGAAGTGGACCCATAGTTCCTGTTTTTTTTTTTGTGTGTTTTTTGTTTTGTTGGTGCCTGTGCAGGTTTGGTGACTCTGCTTCACAAAACATTGACAAGCAGCCAAAATAACAAGAAACACAGCTAACATTTCATCAAACCTTCTATCGCTGTTACTTCATCTATTGCTAATATCGCCTTGATGAATTTCAATTGCAGCTGCCTCTTTTAAATCAGGCTAGATCATACATGTTTGGGTTTCAAAAGCCAAAACCCAGTTCAATAATGAGTGCAGCATCTTTTTACAACGCATCTGGCTCTACAAGATAAGATACAGGATGGCAAAAAGGAAATGTGTCCAACTTCTTCAGTGATAACCAGTACTTTATTTGTTGATATATTTGATATGTGAATAGGTTTTTTGATAGTTATGTCTGGCAATAATGACTGCAACTGCCCCTTGGGTGCAGGCTAGATTGTGTATGTTTGGATCTTGGCCATATGTTAAACTGATGTTTCAAAGAAGCAAACATACCATTATCTTTGAATAGCTATGCCACCACACAGGTTGTCTGATCTTAACAGTCAACAGCATGACACACTTCTCTGTCTCTCTAATTATTGAAATAAAGCTGCTGACAAGACTCTGCAAAATAAAGATGATAAACAATATATGTACCTACTTCTTGAGTTGTAACATTCCCACCATCCTTCTTATCCAGGGTGTGCTTGTGTAATATCCACCTACCTACTGTATGCCCTTCCCACCATACTTCTTATGTAGTGCAAATGCTTCTATATACAATGTATGTTGGGATGATATCAATCTGACAAGTTCATGAAGAAACAGCTATATCATATCAATTGCTTCTAGCAATAGAAATTCTCCATCACCTCTATCACACTAGCCACCTATTGCTACTGTATATTTTGTTCCAAAATGCGCAGCTACCCATTCTTATAGCATGCTGTGCAGCAGATGTTTTCTGTTATATGCTGATTGTTTGTAGTTCTTTGCAAGCCTCACAGGAAAAATTGAATCCTGTCACAAGAGTCTGTAGACGCCAGTAATTTATGACAGCATATGATAGCCTTTGAAGGTGAACGTTATTTTTTGCTCTAAATTAACGGTTTTAAGCCTACTTTTGTCACAAAACACTGTAAAAACCAGTATTTTTGACCATTTTTAGAGCAACCATCACTCCCCCATGAGGGGGGCGTTCTGAAAAAAATAGGCCTTGGTCGCTGTGAGGTCGCGATCCAATTCCACAAAATATTTGCAACCGTATTGGGTTGATATGATGCGGGGCTTTGACCACTAAACATGTGGGCTGCAACAATACCGTGGGACTTCCTAGTCCAAAATAAGGGGTTGAACAAACAGAAACTGGAGATATGTGGAGATATGTGAGGATATGTGGAGATAAGAAAGGTGGGTTAATCACGCAAAGGCAGATTTTCACAGTCAACAATGGGTTGCTCAGCAAGAGTATATAATGATGTGGCATGATATGCATGATATAGCAATCAAAACGACTAAATACAACTAGAACATGATCAACGACTAAAATTTGGATCTTAATCGTAAAACATGGAGGTTTTTCCGCAAGAAACAATGGAGTTTCACCATGGAAACATGGATGCACCCAGGTGAATTATAGGTCTATGACCTATTTTTGAATGGTTCAAGTGGATAAGGGGGCCAAAGGCAATATATAAAAGTCCCATCCCCCTCATCTTAAACCTCCCAGAAACCATGGTTTAGTAGATTTACACATATTTGGATATATTTGGGACCATTCAGGGGGTGTTGAAAACCCTCGCAAATAAAGGACGTCACCAAGATCTTGATTTCAACAAACTTGGCGATGTGATGTCAACACACGAAAAGGTGATCTAAACCATTGGGGATCTGCTGATAGGCCAGCCAATGATCTACATATTCTCTGTATCTTGAATCTTGACAAAACACATGGCTAAAGGTATACCAGCATTTGGCTATAGAGCACACTTTTTACAAGGAAAATTCAGTTCGTTCCCTATATGATGTATTTCCCATCATGGAAACATTGGAAACGCCTAGGGCCTTTCCAGCCAAACCGAGAGGGTAAATCTCTAGAGATATGTTACGATATGTTCTGGATCCCCAATATTTTAAATAAGAAATCATATTAGTAAAGACTTTATAAATATAAATGTATACATGATATTGAACATATGTGTATATATATACACATAACACTATATAATTATATGTATATATATATACACAGTGTATCTAATTTAAACATGCTTTGAAAAAAGTGGCGACTGAAAAACCCTCAAATTGGCACCCCTTTTCCAAACGAGGCAGGATGCAGTTGAAACCGAAACTCGGATCCAAAGCGAATTGCACCATCGACGCTCAGCGGACATCCATGGCACCATATATCGCACGGTCCCAGGGAGTCCCAGGCCATCTGGAAACGGTCCCAGAGATGTGCCTTTGATGATACCATTGGGATATTTAGACTGAAGTTAATCTGGGATCATCTTTGGGATTAACTTAGGTCAATAGGGCTTAAGATCCTTTAATCTGGAGGGCCAAGATGCGCCAACATTAACTTGAACTCAGTCTGCACCATGATCATGACCATTCCTAGGGCTTGGTCGCTCGCAGCGGCATCGACAACTTCGTATGGTCAAATTGTGGGATTGGGAGCCCCATAGACATACCCAGTGCTGTCCGAAAAAAACAAAAAACATTAAAAAAAAAACATACCTGCAAGCACACAACAAAACGTGCAAGCTTGAAATGGGCTAGATGATGACTTGACTAAACATTGCCAAAGTGTATGTGCTAGGCTTGACTCCAACGCAAAATGAGTTTGTTGATTGCTAGATTGACCTAGCCGATGTGCGGAAGTGGCGCCAGCGGCTACCCAGCCAAACTGCTGCAGCATACCATGCGTGCCTACCAAACAATTGTAGAGGTTTCGATTCTCGAAGGGAACTTCGAAGTGTTTTGGTAGTTGGGATTGTAATCCCTCGTAATAAATAAATGTCTAAGACGGGATTGATATATAGCAGCTTCCCAGCCGCAACAAGCAGGCCCAAACAGGCATTTTTTAAGACTTATGTTACACAGAATTCAAACAAAAAACGTACTATTCTTAATTAATAAAAGAAGGCAATAGAACAAAAAACAAACACCACCCTCAAAATCAAATCACCAACCAAGGTGTATATATATATATAAATAATTATAAATATATATATATATATGAAATAGACATTGTTGCAGTTGGTTCTTTGATCCTCTCCACCAGCTGCGGCACCGCTTGCCTTCCTTCCATTGAGCCATCTCTCCCTCAACCACCACGAAGCATTGCGAGGCCAAGTCTCCTACCACCGGTGGGGGGTCACCGGTGGGAGGTTGAAACGGGCCGCAGGGACGCAAAAGGGAGGCAGGATTGCCAAGCGGGGTGGCGGAAAAGCTTGGGGGTATAGCAATATGGCGGTCGTTTTAGGATTAAACTATAAAGTATGTATATATATAGTATTATATATAATATATATATATATGATATTATATATTGTATTATATTATGTTATATTATATTATATTATGTGTATATATATACACAATATTATATTATATTATATTATATTATATTATATTATATACATATATTAGATTATATATTATATTGTATATTGTATTATATATATATATAAATATTATATACATGGAATTATCTCGCCTCAATTTCAAGTCCATGGGCAATACCAGCCCGAAACCTGTTTCAACGGGCAGTATTTGTCAAATGAGGATGATCGATGCCCATCTCTTGCTTGGTGCATGTCACTGTGAAAACTCCAACGTTAGATGGTTTAGGCCATACTGCTCAAACATTGGGGATGGCTTGCAATCAGCTTTACGACATTAGACAATCAACCCACTTTTGGGTACTAAGTCTTCACCCTTTGCCCTACTAACAAAAACAGGTATGTGGCTTTACAAATCAAAATCCTGGCATCTTGTTTTTCCCCGTTGAAATATCTGGTAGTGTGCCGGATGTTCATCTTGTTACTTGTTCAACCCCCAGTGAACATCTTGTGAAACAACAAGTGGCCTGAGCAATGCTTAAATATCCATTTGGTTGGTGGAGAAATCACATGTTTGCTGTAATGAGATTCATATCGCCAATTTACTCGCATTTGCAAGCTATATATATATATATTTATATATATAGGTTTCCGAAAGGTACCCCAAATGGATGATTTATACTTAAAACTCCTGCTAAAATGGATGATTTGGGGGTACCCCTATTTTAGGAAACCTCCATATATGAGTCGTTAAATCACTTTTTTGAGATGTGCTTTGGTCAAGATCCAATATCTATTGGTTGGAATCCCAACCTGCCCAGTGACCAGCCCATTGCTGGGGTGTAGTTGTTTTACCATGCTTTAGCCTCTGGTATGTAAATTAACGTAGACCCTGAACATAGATGAACATAGCCATTTTATGCCATTTTCTAGTGGAAACTAATCTTCCAAGCCCCATCTGCCAGGGTCTCTGTTAATTTACTGGAGGGTACCCCTTTCGCACCACGGGGAGCCCCTACTTACCATGTAGAATTTCTTGCCACCGACGACTCGGCCTTCTTCAAAAATCACTTCTCCGCGCTGCCTGACTGAAACAAGATAAGGCTGCTAAGATTCCCAGAGAAAAACTGTATAGCACTGAGGAGATTACTGATATCAGTGCATGACTAAAATACATAAGCACACAAGAAAGACTGAGGATTCAACGAACAAACCATTGGATTTCAACCGACAGATACGACAACCTTTATACCAACATGGAAATTTCAGTCAAGATAGTCGGAGATTCAACCAACAAACATAACACACGATTGGTTTTCAGGGATTTTTCCACCAGCAAACATGGATGTGGGGCCTGGTACCGCCTGGTACCTCGCCACACAAAACCATACCAGTTCTATGGCACCTCGGCACTCGCCTTGCCGCACTCGACAGGAGCTGCTGTTCTCGGTGGTCTAAAGTTCCTGGGTTAACAAAACCCAGGGTCCATCTGTGGAGCGACATTTTCGTACCAGGTTCAACCCTGACAGGAATACAAACCCAAGTTCAAGGTACATGTCGTACATGTCATCTACAAGTTGGGAAATGACCGTCCCCGATTTGTTTAGCAATGAGGGCATAAGTCACGTAAATCAGGACAGGAAAAGAGAGTGTATGGATACCATTTGGAACCCTGCTAAACTACGGTATGACCCCAAATCTTTGGTTGACTCCTCAATCTAGATAGATGCGCTCAATTGTCCAAAGGAAATCGCCTCAGAAGTGCGGAAAAATCCGTAAGTTAACCTTAAGCCCCTAATATCCACTAAGTCACTCAATAAGGCCCCAAACACACGAAACAACCATCATGTGTCAGGATGACTTACATCCGAAAGTTTTGAGGGTGCCATCATGCTGAGGATGCCTCCAGAACCGCGCTCTTTTGGTGTGACATTGTTTTAAGAAAACCATACCCACGTATAGATGGTTCATACCCCGATGTTCATGCCATTGAAACAAAAAAAACAAATGCAGAACATGTTTTTTCAAGATGCGTTTCTCTGAAATTGGTACCTCCCACGGAAAAACACGGTACAAGGGTTTCTCCTCATTTTGGTGAAAACGATCATTGTACAACGACACTTGTTTGGTCAAACCTCGATTGTGTGTCCTGAGGTTGGGGGGTTCCTTTCAAATTTTCAGAAGCCCCCAAAACCACCAAACAAAACGCCCAACATAACCATGATCTGAGGGCTCCCCAAATTTCAGGAACACAACATATTCATACATATTCTTTTTATGATCTAAACACATGTATAAATAATTCTAAGTTGCCCCATGTGCCCACGCAATACTATCATGCGTTTGGAAAACTCTTACGAGCTCTCCCAATGCCCAATAAAAAAATTGGGAATTTAGATACCCCAGAGCCCGCTCCAAACCGCTCCAAGGATCGAAAAAGGAAGACCTGCTTTACCCATCGCAACTTCTCCTCCTCGTCGCCCTCCTCCGTTGGCAAAACGGCCTGCAGATCCGGTTTTTTGTTCGGTGGAGAAACATGGGGAGGAGACAAACGCCAGGAGGTTATCTTGGACGTTGCCTATTGACAGGAACCAAAGGGTTGCGAATTACTGTAGATGCTTTACTGTAACTATTCTAGAATCATAAGTTCGTTTCTGCATCTGGTATTGTATCTAAGTTTAAACAAACATCAAAAATAGTGCCTTTAAGCTTCCACAGAGAGTGTCCAAAAGATTTTACATGGGTCTAAAATGGTCTAGATGACCAGCATCTGTGGCTGCAAAATCACCGGCCGCCCCATAAGAAACCCCAATGGATCTCATATTGTCATGTCACTTGAGCTTTTGATAGGATTGTTGACATTGCCTGACATGCTCCCACTATCACGATTTCCAATGCAAGCCTAGTATATACCCTCAGTGAGTTCATCTCCAACGAACTCCAATCATGTTGTTCAAACTTGGGTCTCTTGGGCTGATACTGTACAATTCTGTAGAAACTTTGCTCCACAGGTCGTGTTGTTGCAAACTTCCCAATATTCGCGGGTTTGACATGCTCAAGTATCCCTACTAACTGTATATCCTCATATAGTTACTATAGTTGTATTCCCACAGTCGTTAGAGTTGCATCCTTCTTCGATGTTTTGTAAAAACAAAACTCTGTTTCAAAGGGATATGACTTTTTCGAAGTACCGTACAGTCAATATTCTAGTAGGGTATCACTTTCCTATCTTTGTAGAAAATGAGTTTACATACATATATATATATATATACACACTATATTATATATATATATATATTGGGTTGCGTCAAAATTCAGATATGGACCGACCCGCAATTATCCGGAGGTATGGATCGGTCTGGATCACCTGCGTTTTGGTATGGATCGGGGGTATGGATCGGTCTATGGGTCAGGGTATCGATGGGGCTGTACATGTTTTGACTCGCAGCCATATATATACATTTAGATACATTTAGATACATCATATCCATAAGTCCCAAGATGTCCCTAAATGTCCCAAGATGTCCCAAGTCAGTCTTCCATGCCCGGTGACATCTTTCATCAACAGCGCCAGCGTGGTGGCTTCGACTTCATCAGGCAGCTGCAACGTCGTGCCGTTTGCATCTCGCCAAGGCATGGAATCGTTGGGCTTCAGGGGGTAAGATACGCCGGAGACCTGGCAGGTTTCCATAAGGGCTATGATCATCCTCAATAGCTGCAACGAAGACTGGGAAGATGTTTCATTTCTATTGGAACATCTTCACAAGACAAGAAATCTTGGTCTTCAAATGTTTTAACCGTGAGGTTCCACTTGTCTGACGCTGGCAACTAAACCAGCATGGGTTGATTTCGTAACGAAGCCCGTGGCTTTTGATTGATCACAAGTAAACCAAAACAACAAACAACATTAAACAACATTATATAAACAACCATAGTTTCTTGGGTTTTTCTGAGGTTTCAAAAGGCACTTCTATAACTGCGAGTTCTTCGTCACGAGGCTTCTTGCTAGGTCACTTGACCCCAGGGGCGACGAGGGTCTTCTCGCCTCTACAGTGAGGCTGCCGTCCAAGAGCATGAACCATTCGATGGAGGACGCCGGTCCCAAACATTCGGGCAACGCCTCGGCAACGGTGACACACCGCCGCCAAGGTTGACATGGGGGAATCAGCTGAAAGTGTGTGGATGGGAAATGCTAGGGATTGGATTTGAATGATTTTGAATGGAATTCATTAGATTTCCAATGGATTTTAATGAAATTTGATGGATTGAATGGATTTGAATGGATTTTGATGGATTTTGATAGATTTTAATGGATCTTAATGGATTTTTTTTTATGGATCTTAATGGATTTTTTAATGGATTGTTGGTGGATTTAAATGAATTTTGATGGATTTGTTGATGGGTTGTTTGATGGATTTGAATGGATTTCAGATGATTGTAGCACCTTGACGTGGCAAAGCTAATGGTAGTCACCATCCCCAAATTGTGCGTCCGTGGTTTCTTGCGTATACCTCCGAGGGCCAATGGGACGGAAACAAGAGATACATGATGATACACTGATGATATATGTATATTATATAACCGTAATATACCGCAATGTTGTTCATTGATGTTCATTGGAGATACTTTAGAAAGTGCCACTAGAATTTACATTGTATACTGTACATCCCATATTTGGCCAGTGACAAAGACATCACCAAGCAGCGGAGTGACCAAAGGCCGTGATGATGATACAAGCCCTGGCCTCAAAACGAGGGGGGACAAACCCGGGTGATCAACCCATGATTGACAGCTTTGGGTTGGCGGTGGACCATTGGATCTCTGCCTATGGTACCGTATTTTTAGACATGAACATCCATTCACCAGATATTCTGTCGATTTTGAACCCATAGCCACGTGACTTCATCCAGAGGGCGACATACATTTTTTTTTCACCAAACTGTTTGTACTGTAGTTGTACCGAGGTTTTGAAAAATATATGTCAATTGTAAACCATGCCTGCCATACCACACCACCATGTTTTGCAATGTTTTGTAATTACTGAACTAGGAAGTTTTGGAGATCAAACAATCTTGAGCCACGTCCATTTATGCCAGGGTTCCAAATTTACATAAAAAATAACGAAAACATGTAGTTGGATGTTCAACGGGCCTGATCTATCATTAATTATTCTATCTAATTTGAAGTAAAGGTATTTGTATACAACAATAATGTTGACGAATTCACCAACCAGGCGCCACCTAGCATTATATGGGTTCCTTAGCTCCCCGTTTGGTAGGTGTTTTTTTCTACGTAAAGGTGATATTATCACTGGCTCCTTGGCTCTCCCAAAAATCAAAATGAGTCTTTTTAGACCCAGTGTTGCTGAAGAACTGTACCATTTTGATTGTTAAATACCCTATATTTGATCCTTGAAATATCATCTTTGATGGGGTGAAAGCTCAAGTTTTGCTGACTTTTCAGGGTCAATCCTTTCACCAAGGCTCCCCCCCAATCGCCCAGGCGCCAATTCTTCAGGGTTGTCGCGATATGCCAAGGCTGTGCTGTGGCCCGCATGGCTGGACCAGGCGCCGCGCAGCGATGATAACAAGGCGCAGCGCCAGAAGAAATCGGTGCCGCGGAAGCCCAGCCTGTGGCTGTCGGGCTGTCGGGCCCTGGGTGACCTGCTGAGTCCATCCCAGATCCAGCGAGTTTTTCTGGTTCTTTATACATGGTAAACATACAAAAAACGATGGAACATCACCATTTTTAATAGGTAAATCCACTATAAATCACCATTTTCAATAGCTATGTTTGTTTACCAGAGGGTATATGTTAACACTGTTAAGCTTGATAATCCACTTACTAAATGGGATGCACATCCAAGTACCAGCATCCAACTCATTAAATGTGGATATATTGGAACAAACTGCTAGATCCAGATGAATTATCAACCACTGGCACAACTCTACGCTTTACTATGTTTCAACCCAAATCATGTATTTAAAATATAAACATATACATAAATACATATATTATATATACATCCTAATTATTTCAAAATAACAAGGACGCATATAAGTATATATATATATATATCTACATTATTCCAATGTGTAATATATACCAATATTTCTATATGTTTTTCCAGAAAAAATTGGGCACCAGGAGACAAGGCTTGCAGCGACGGCAGCTGCCACGCCACGAGCTCCGTGTCGCCCTCCGCCTGCAGCCGGCCGCAGCCCAGGCTGTCGCCAGGAAGATGTAGCGACGACTGCCCGGAGGCGACGCTTTCGATCCTGGGGAGACATGGAGAAATGATTGGATCCATGTTTGGGAACAAAATAAATATCTTTGGGATATGGAGGTTTCCATTTTTAGGGGGGGTTACCCAAAAATGGATGCTTTATAATGGAAAATCACATTGAAATGGATGATTTAGGGAAATGCCCGTGTATGTATATGTATATATATACGCTCTGGTAAACTAACACAGCGAACTGAAACATCACAACTTTTAATAGGGAAATCAACGGACTAAATGTACCATTTTCAATAGCTATGTTAAATTACGAGAGGGTACAATATAATATACAAAGGTAATGTACAAAATCGTAAAATGGTACAACTATATACTATAGATTGGTAATTAACACTGGTAATTACAACTATAGTCTATAGTCGTGTTGTGTAGTACAACTATACTATAGAATGATATACGGTATATGTATAAAATGGTTGCATGAATGGTAAAGTTGTTTGAATGGTATTATAGTTTTCTGATTATAGAGAATGATAAAATATTTATATACTATTTTGACATATTTTAAGTAGTTTCCTGTGAATGGGAAGATAGTCATATCGTCCTAAATGGTTATTTGTAGTGTACGTTATGGCATAGAGTAACTGTAAAATGATCTAACTTATGTGGGAAACCCAATGCCACAAACCTACCATGATTAGGTTGAAAGGCCACCCATTAAAAAAAAAAACGGTTACAGTATGGTTTTGGCAATGGTCTTGGCTGTGGGTTTACCACATATCAAAAAACTTATCATACCTTGTATATATACATATAGTTCAACTATACTATATAGAGTCTGTTAGTTGTATAGTAACACATCACTGGCCATTTCAGGAACCAATTTATGGGAGGTACTTACCATACACTATATGGTCTATGTAAGGGCTATGTACACTAGGTAAGGGGATATATCCCAAAACATGGCGTTATATAATACCTACAGTTTAGGTACCTAAAATGGTCATTGAACAAACAGCTACATATAGCTATCCTGAAGTATATAGACTGATGTTTATTGTTTGATGGTTATACTGTAATATGTATGTGTACATATATATATATATATTATGATTATGCATATATGTATATACATATATAGTCATGGATTGTATATTTGAGTATAATATGTATCTTGTTATGGATTACATAGACTATGAAATTGTCAAAACAAATCAGTAACATAGACATATTTTTGAACGGTGCATACCCTATCTATTTCAGGATGATTAACACTCTAGGACGAACAACTATATAAATTTATCTAGCTATCAAACAATACACATCTAGACTCATTTCATCATGTAACTACAGGCATGCAAAGCAATGACATTAAATATAACGCTGTTCAATTATGTACTATATAGAGCTGTATAACAATACAACTATAGACAAATGCAGTTGTATGCGTGCAGCTATCTATTATAATTATATATGTATGTTTTTTTTTGGAAAATACAACTAATTGGAGCAACAGTGAGCGGGCGATGAGTTTCGATAATGACTTCAAGACATGAGGAAGGAGGATCATCCGGTTTGAAAACTGACACGGTGATATACCATGGTAACTTGGTGACTAGTAGGAAGTCATTAGGCCCATCGTTTTTAAAGGACCTGGACGGATTTGTTTCGTGGCCTCATTTGTTGGGATATCATCTCGCCAAGTTTCCAGTATTACGACAGCGGTTCTGTATGGATATGTTCTCAGGTTTTAGCATTACACAATCTCCCCATTCATTACATGATTACATGAAACACACATACGCCAACCCCCATAGTGGATTCTCACCCAATTGCGAATCACCCAAGCCGTGCCCGACCTTTTGGTGTCTGAAAATAGGATATAACCCCCTTTCCCATCTTTTCCCTGCTAAAATGGTCATTTTGCGGCCATTTGGGGAAGTACCCCAACCTCAGACCCAGCCTTTCTCCAAACCAGGCGTCACCATTCCCTTCTTCACCAGGTACATGAAGCTCCCTGGCCCCTCCTCCTTGATCACCTTTCCGTGGCTGTAGGAGACGTTGCAGCTGCACTTGCTCAGCATGGCCAGGTAGGAGACGTCCAAATATTCGAAGAGGGCAGTGCGGAGGAGAAAGTGATAGTTCTCTGAGGCAATCTCACGCCTGCATCATTGGTATAACCATGGTATAACCATCAATAATATGGTAGCTATTGATCACTAACAGCCATCAATAATGGATGATAATGGGAGGGGTTTTATATATATATATATAACTTCCATAAAACGACTCAAATCATCAGTACTTGGATGTGCATCCCAGGAGTCGGATCCATGGGGATATTCCAGATGTAACTGGGGGTATAGCCCATTTCCTCAGTGGGATGCACCCCCAAGTATAACCATGAAAAATGGAGGTATTCACCACTAACAGCCATCAATGGTAGTGCCCCAGTTCGTTAGCTAATGCTACGAACTAACCAAACTCTAGGTTCATGGTGGTGATAGAACTATATTTTGTGGGTCAATAAACCAACTTATAACTGAGGGGCAGCCGTTTTTCGGATCATGGGCACATTCTCTCTGAATAGTTCTTCCAGTGTTCAACTACTGTATCGCAACTGGATGGTCCACGAACAAAAAGCCTCAAACAAAAAATGGATGATTGGCAATTGAGGCCATAATCATTATGATAAACATGGTTGTCACTTGGGATCATACTAATATTGGTTGTTTCCCGGGGACAGCACCAATAGTCCTTGGGGCTTCGTCATCTGAGGCAGGATGGGACCAGTCGAAAAGATGATGGATGGCATTTGAAGACTCAAGGGTTGCAGTTAAACAGTGTACCCAAATATACCCAATAAATGTCAATAATTTTTATACCTGGTCCAAATGATTCAACGTTGGTGGACGCAAACGTCGAGGAAACCTGAATCCATATTGATTGTTACATACCGCAAGTTTTGTGAATTCAGGAGGTTCCGGTCTTGTGCTTTGAGCCATGTGTTATTGTGCAGTTACGTGCTGTACCTCCACTCGTTCACTGCATCGAATGACAATTTTGGTTTTCTAGAATGGGGGTACCATGGTGGGGTACCCCCAGTCATCATCCATTTGAAGTTCGGCTTGTCACTTCATAAACCATCCATTTTTTGGGATCCCCCAAACCCCCTTGGATGGCTCAGGTCGTCACGTGACTTTCTTCAAGGCTTCCAGGAAGGTTTCCTTGGAGATTGCCAAGCATGTCCTCAGCTCAGCGACGAGGACGGATTTTTGGATATGGGGATGGGTCACCGATTATGATCTATGATTACCCATCTTCCCAATATTTACTGATATTATAGCTAATATTATATATTTTACCTATTTTCTATTATGATCTATTATTACTAATCATATATTATCTATGTTCTATTATGATCTATGAGTACTAATCTTATATTACCATATTCGTCAACAACCATCCATGAACAAAGTATTTGAGGGTACCTAGGGCACAATGGTTCTGAATGTTTTGACCCTTAACCATTTGGTGACTTAAATGGTAATACTGAATATGACAGCTATCAGTAAACATTCGTAACCAACAGCCCGTCATCATCATAATAATCATAATAATCATAATAATCATCGTCATCATCGTCATCATCCTCATCCTCATCATCACCATCATCACCATCAACATCATCATCATCACCATCATCACCATCATCATCACCATCATCATCATCATCATCACCATCAATCATCACACACACACATATATATATGTACATGCGCATAAAAATATACATGCACATAAATAAATAAATAAATAAATATATATATATATATATATGTGCTATGATCGCTAGAGAACTTTACCTCTTTTATAACCAGCAATAAAATTTTCGTGCGCCCCATGCAGAAAGAGATCTGCACCCTTTGGGATCCCCAGCATCGCCGAGGCGCCCCCCTGCCTCGCCCGCCATGAGATCCGAGTGCACTCCCCAGAGGTTGATCTCACCGAAGACACAGCTGGGACCCAATGTGATGGACCTTAGACGTTGCGAAGAATAGTGCTTCAACCAAGACAAAATGGGCACTTAATGGGATTTAAGCATCCACATGGTGGTTTTATACGATTTAACTTGCAGACATGGTGAACAATGGTGCTTTAGCCATTCAAAGTAGGATTTAGACAACACAAATGGTCTGATTTGATGGGATATCGATATTTCACGATGATACCAACAACGTGCTATCCGGCAATTTAAGAGTTTGCTATGGCACATACATGCACATACGGCCCATTTATAGATGATTCAGCAAGTAAACATGGTGATTGTCCATAGCAAAATGTTGAAATACCAGAGGGCATCAATCGGGCAGACTATCATTAGATTGAACGATTGAATAAAGTATAGAAAATGGGGAGAATCAAATCCAGCGAAAGGCTATAACTATCGAGAAATTTCAACCCCAACCTCAACCACAATTTGGCCACCACAAAGTGAGGCTTAAGCCTTTGCAAAATGGATAGTTTGCTCCTGATTTAACGAGGTGATGCAAAATCTCCGAGCGCATTTCAAAGGCCCAAGGGGCTCCTTGGTGCTGTTGTCACCCATGATGAAGCAGCCATCCCGGATGATGAAAACGTAAGGACATGGAAACTCCTGGGGACCAATTTTGGGGAATGGTTGCTGGTCATTTGGATCCTCAGGCTTCGGTGTCAGCAAACATGGCTGGGAATCCTCCGTAAATATGGGAAAAACATCGAACTAAATAAGGAACTGTTCCATTGTGGTGAAAGAGTAAAATCCATATTTGCTGGTTCACTTACCGTTTTTGCTGGTAATTTTGCATGTTTTGATGGCTAAAACCCAACTGAGTATAATTACATATAACTAACCGCATCACCTGAACAAATACTGTACTCCCCCCAGGAAAGAAACCAAACGAAACAAATAACAATGGTTTCCTGATCTACTCATGTGGGGACCAATTTATGGAGGGTACTTTTTTGTTTCTTTCTAGAGAAAGGGATTATGCCAATGTTTGTTGGTTTGGTATTTTTTGGGAAAAACACATTGTTTTTTTAATTGGTTACCACCGCCAGCGAGTATAGAAATCAATTCCCACTATAAAGTATCTCCATGAATGATGGTTACTACCAGTAGTACCGCGCAAGGCGGCGGCGGAAGTTTCAACGATAGGAAACCTATAGGAAGGGTTGGTTGCTGTGACTCACGGATGGCAGAGCGAATCCACTGATGGACCGAAAGGTGGCTGGAGCTCTGTTTTCTGGAGTGGTTGCAGTGGTTACAGTGCTCAACACAACTGCTGGATGTAGTGTGGTGTAGTGCAGTTGTAGGTAGTTGTAGTTGCAGGTGTAGTTGTAGTTGTAGTCTAGAGGAGTTGTAGTTGTAAGTTGTAGTTGTAATGTAATGTAAGTAGTGTAGTGCAGGTGCAGTTGCAGTTGTAGTTGTGGTGTAATTAGTGTAGTGTATTGTAGTGTACTGTAGTGTTGTGTACTGTAGCGTGGTATAGTGTAGTGTGGTGTCGTGTAGCGCAATGTAGTGGTAGCTAAGTTGTACTGTAACGTAATGTAACTAGTGTTGCGTAATGTAGTGTAGTTCTAATTGTATTTGTATTTGTAGCTGTAATGTGCTGCAGATTAATTAGCGTACTGTAGCGTAATGTAGTGTAGCTGTAATTGTAGTTGTAGCTGTGGTGGTGGTGGTGGTGGTGGTGGTGGTGGTCGTTGTAGCAGTAGTAGTAGCAGTGGTAGCAGTGGTAGCAGTGGTAGCAGTGGTAGCAGTGGTAGCAGTGGTAGCAGTGGTAGCAGTGGTAGCAGTGGTAGTAGTAGCAGCAGTGGTAGTAGCAGCAGTGGTAGTAGCAGCAGTGGTAGTACTAGTAGTAGTAGCAGTGGTAGTAGCAGCAGCAGCAGTAGTAGTAGTAGTAGTAGCAGTAGTAGTAGCAGCAGCAGCAGTAGTAGTAGTAGTAGCAGTAGTAGTAGCAGTAGCAGTAGTAGCAGGAGTAGTAGTAGTAGTAGTAGTAGTAGTACTAGTAGTAGCAGTAGTAGTAGTAGTAGTAGTAGTAGCAGTAGTAGTAGTAGTAGTTAGTAATTAGTAGTAGTTAGTAGTAGTTAGTGGTAGTTAGTAGTAGTTGTGGTAGTTAGTGGTAGTTAGTGGTAGTCAGTGGTAGTTAGTGGTAGTTAGTGGTAGTTAGTGGTAGTTAGTGGTAGTTAGTGGTAGTTAGTGGTAGTTAGTGGTAGTTAGTGGTAGTTAGTGGTAGTTAGTGGTAGTTAGTGGTAGTTAGTGGTAGTCAGTGGTAGTGAGTGGTAGTTAGTGGTAGTTAGTGGTAGTTAGTGGTAGTTAGTGGTAGTTAGTGGTAGTTAGTGGTAGTTTGTGGTAGTTTGTGGTAGTTAGTGGTAGTTAGTGGTAGTTAGTGGAAGTTTGTGGTAGTTAGTGGAAGTTTGTGGTAGTTAGTGGTAGTTAGTGGTAGTTAGTGGTAGTTAGTGGTAGTTAGTGGTAGTTAGTGGTAGTTAGTGGTAGTTAGTCGTAGTTCGTCGTAGTTAGTCGTAGTTAGTAGTAGTTAGTAGTAGTTAGTAGTAGTTAGTCGTAGTTAGTAGTAGTTAGTAGTAGTTCGTAGCAGTTAGTAGTAGTTAGTAGTAGGTGGTAGTAGTTAGTAGTAGTAAGTAGTAGTAAGTAGTAGTAAGTAGTAGTAAGTAGTAGTAAGTAGTAGTAAGTAGTAGTAAGTAGTAAGAAGTAGTAGTAAGTAGTAAGAAGTAGTAGTAAGATGTAGTAGTAAGATGTAGTAAGTAGTAAGAAGTAGTAGTAGTAGTAGTAATAGTAGTAGTAGTAGCAGCAGCAGCAGTGGCAGCAGCAGTGGCAGTAGCAGTGGCAGTGGCAGTGGTAGTAGTAGTAGTCGTAGTAGTAGTCGTAGTAGTAGTAGTAGTAGTAGGAGGAGTAGTAGTAGTAGCAGTAGTAGGAGTAGTAGGAGCTGCTGTAGTAGTTGTAGTAGTTGTAGTAGTTGTAATAGTTGTAGTGTAATTGGTGTAATTGATGTAGTGTAGCGTAATGATGTAATTAGTGCTGTGTAGTGTAGCGTCGTATATTTGTACTTGTAGTTGTGGTAGTAGTGTAGTGGTACTTGTAGTTGTAGTTGCAGTTGTAGCTGTCTATCTTTGCAAGCTTGAAAACGACGCTATTCCGCCAGACTTCCTCAGTTTTTGAACCTGGCAACATCAAAAACGCAGCAATTCTGGGAGACTTCCTCACTTTTTGAACTTGACAACGTCAAAAACGAAGCACTTCTGCGAGACTTCTTCAATTTTTCAACTTGACAACATCAAAAACAAAGCAATTCTGCGAGACTTCCTTCAAAAATGGAAAGTTGAGTGCAGAGCTAACAGCTTCGTACCAATGCGTTTTGCGATTTTTCTAGTCCACCTGTCGAAAGTACTGCGCCTGCCACGAACAAGTGATGCCACGTCATACGAAGTGCTGCACCTGTCACGCAAAATCATCTCAGCAAACCTGAAGATCTGATGCTCCAAAATGCAACCCCTCTCAGGAAATCCTCCTAACAGCAGTAATGAACATGTCTCTTGTACTGCGCCTGCCACGCGAAATGCATCTTGCCATATCCTCTGCATATGTCCCACGCCTGCCATCGTTTTTGAAACTGCTACAAAGCCCTCACATTTTGCGCACTTCTGACAAGGTGCACAATCCCTTGCGCCTGCCACGCGAAACGACATCTGAACGTCCAAAAGTGCTCCGTACCCTTCAGCTTTTTGCACTTTTGACTTCGAAATTTGCTTCGCGCCAAAACGGCGTGCACTTTTTCGACATCTCAACTTCCAAAAATGGTCCCAACATGAGATGCTTTGCGCGTTTTGACTTCCAAATGTGCTGCGTGCCACAACGGCGTGCACTTTTTCGACATCCCAACTTCCAAAAGTGTTCCGAACCCGTCAGTTTTTTGCACTTTTGAGTGCTTCGCGCAACAACGGCGTGCAACTTTTCATCTCTCATCTGACCACATGGCTCCGCACCCGCCGCTTTAGCGAGCCTACTTTTCGACCCTCCGGAGCCACAAATGATTGGAAAAACACAGTGTTTCGCGACTTTCCTACCTTTTCGCGCACCTGGATCTTCTTTCTTCTCACTCTTTCTCTTTTCGATCTTCTTTCTTCTTCTCTTCTCTTCTCTTCTCTGACTCTTCCCATCTCTGCTTTTGAAGTTTGACTTCTAAACTTCCTTCGGTAAAAGATTATAAAAACCTCCATCTTTGCCCCTGTCGAAATTAACATATATGATATGTATATACATATATTATTAGATATTCTGATTGTGATGATTGAGTCTTCAATGTGTTTTTGTTCATCTCTGTCAATTAGGGTTGCTCCCAACACCCCAGATACAAGGAAGGAAACTTGGCTAGATAAAGAGGAGTACTAATTTACGAGTTGGAGCAACCCTGTAAATGCTAATTAAGTGATATTGAGTTCCTATATTTTCATGATTAAATTCCATTTGTTTAAACAAATCCCGGCGAATTGCTGGTTAAACTCCTGATCCTAGACTATTTGATGTCCATTCAACCCTGATATTCATCAGTTATTTCCCCATAGGTTAAACTATCATTTCCACCATCTTTCATGGCTTAAATCATGTTCAATCGCTCATAAAACCCATCAAAAAAGGGGTTGTTCATTGCCTAAATTCCCACAAAACCACCATTTCTCATCTGGTTGGTGGTTTCAACCCCTCTGAAAAATATGAAGGTCAGATTGGACCATCATCCCAGCTATTGGGGAAAATTAAAATCGTTCCAACCAGCCATGGTTGAAGCACCATTTCTTTTGTGGTGTGCCATTGGCTCGGGCCATGGACCATCCCCATTCTTGGCTCCTTTCGACTCGCCGCCTCTGCGGGAGCAAATCGATACAGCTGCACCTCTGGCGCCTGGGGAAAGGGATAGAACAGCTACAACCCATGGTGAAACTATGGTGGAATATACGTTCCATATCTAACTATCTATCTATCTATCTATCTATCTATTTATCTATCTCTCTATCATTCAAGCTATCTATCTATCTGACTATTTATCTATCTATCTAACTTTCTATCTGCATGCCTATCTATCCATTTTTTTAAAAAAAAAAACTAGATGTCTATCTAACTATCTATCTATAAATGTCTGTCTATCTATCTGTCTATCTACCTGCCTATCTATCTACCTATCTATCTATCTATCTATCCAGCTATCTATCTGTGTATCTAACTATCTATCTATAAATGTCTATCTATCTATCTACCTATCTGTCTATCTATCTATCTACCTACCTATCTATCTACCTACCTATCTATCTATACCTATAACTATAACTATATCTCTCTATATCTCTATCTATCTATCTCTGTAACTATCTGTCTACCTATCTATCTATGTGTATCTATATGCCTATCTATCTATCTATCTATCTATCTATCTATCTATCTATCTATCCAGCTATCTATCTATCTGTGTATCTAACTATCTATCTATAAATGTCTATCTATCTATCTACCTATCTGTCTATCTATCTATCTACCTACCTATCTATCTACCTACCTGTCTATCTATACCTATAACTATAACTATATCTCTCTATATATTTATCTATCTATCTCTGTAACAATCTGTCTACCTATCTATCTATGTCTATCTATATGCCTATCTATCTATCTAACTATCTATCTATCTATCTACCTAACTATCTATCCAGCTATCTATCTGTCTATCTGTCTATCTATCTATCTATCTATTTAATTATATATATATATATTTGGGTGCGAGTGAAAAATCGGTTATGGATCGCTCCGCGGTGATCCGTGTGCTTACGTAAGGTGCCTGATCCGTACCCTTTCGTACGGGCTCATCATAGCATACAAAATGTGCTGATACTCCTGCTATCCCCTACTTGCCATTACTTCTCCTCCTGCTACCGTTGCTGCTAAAACTGTTACTACTGCTAGTAGAGGGAGCAGTAAAAAAAAACAGCACCAGCAGCAGTAGTGGCAATAGAAGGAGAAGATCCAGTAGCAGTAGAAATAGCAGTAGCAGTAACAGTAGTACTAGTAAAAGTCACAAAAATAAAAACAAAATAGCGATAGTAATAGTAATCTAATGGTAGTAGCAGCAACAGCTGCAGTAGTACTACGGTACTGAAATTTTACGTGCCTGGGTGAAGAACTGCAAAGAAGCAGCGGGCAGAAGCTGAAGGATGTTTTGGCCATATGCATTAGCCTGTCAGATCATTAATGTTTGAATTAAAGGTCGTAGAGCCTGGTGCATCTAAATTTGACTATATTGCAACACAAGCTGGGCAAAGCAGCAAGGAGGAAGCAGAATCCTTTTCAAAGAAGCTCATGAAAGTGACCAGTGTTGCGTGGCAGCCCCACGCAACACTACACGCTACACTACACGCAACACTACCGAACTGCTGGCACGGGCAATCATTTTGGAGCTTTGAGGCTTTTAAGGAATGAAATGAAAATACAAGTCAATTTTTCTGTCCTGACCCGAAATGCTGCCCCTGGCAGCGTTTCGGCAGTGTTGCGTGCAGTGTAGCGTGTAGTGTTGCGTGTAGTGTAGCGTGACTGTTGCGGGTGGTTTGCAGTGTGCGAGTAGCATGCGGCGGCTGCAATGTAGCTTATTTTGCCTCGTGCTCAGCTGCAGCTGTGTGCAGGTGAAGAGTGAAGCACATTGGGGGAACTATGAGAAGAACCAACGATGGATGATCCCCTGGAAATAGCTGGTGACGGGAAGAAATTTGCAAGACCAAAAATACAAGAATTGTTGTTTTTTTTTTCGGTGGGTGGAAAAAATCCTGCACCACCTCTATAACCTTACATTTGCGAATGCATAACTTGTACCCCCGCACCCCCAATCTCAATGTTGAATGACATGTTAACAGGTGGTGCAGGATTTCCGTCACTCGCGTTTCACTGTGTCTTCAAACAATATTAAATTAGGAGCGCGAGGTTTCAAGTGTAGGCCTTTGAAAGTGGTGCAGGATTTCTTCCATCAACAGTAGGAGTTGTAGGGGGAGTAGGAGTAGGAGTAGGAGTAGGAGTAGGAGTAGGAACAGCAGCAGCAGCAGCGGCAGCAGCAGCAGCAGGAGGAGTAGTAGTAGTAGTAGAAGTAGAAGTAGAAGCAGCAATAGAAATAGTAATAAAAATCGGATTTTCATATTGGCATTTGTTGTGGCGTGATTGGGTTCGGGTATGGATCGGGTATGGATCGGCTTTCCCGCTATGGCTGTGAAGGAAGAGAGCGGGGTATTTCTAGTCTAGTCTAGTTCTACACGTGCGAGGCAAAGCAGAAACAAAAGGGAGTTGTAATCATAGCGCCACTTGAAGTATAAGAAGCACCTAGTGACCTAGTGGAACTAGAACCGGTCTTACTAGCCTCCAAGGTGCACTTGCAATATTGCTAGTAGCTAGTCAACTAGTTGCATTTTGTCCAACTACCAGAAGCACAAGGAGGAAGTGAACCAGCACCAGCAGCGGAAGCAGGACCAGCAGGAGCAGCAGCAGAAGCGACAGCAGGAGCAGCAGCTCCTGGGAGGAAGATGATTAGTAGTGGCAGCAGCAGCAGCAGCAGCACGGAGGCAATGGAGGCAGCGGAGGCAGCGGAGGCAGCAGTAGTAGCAACAGTAGTAGCAACGGTAGTATAGCAACGGTAGTAGCAACGGTAGTAGCAACAGTAGTAGCAACGGGACTAGCAGTACGAGGACCAGAAGCAGTATTAGGATAAAAAGCAGCATTAGGGCCAGCATCAGTCTTTCTTCAACGAGAAAGAGGTATGGATCAGGGGTATGGATCAAGGAATGGATCGGGGGGTATGGATCGTGTGTGGGCCCGGGGCCTTGATCCATACCTATTCTTTTGACTCGTACCCATATATATATATATTATATATATATATGTTTGTATTCACATTTATTTTACAGACGTGTGATAGAATCCCTGTAGGGTACCTCAAAAAAAACACAAGTAATGGTGAAATATACACCACTCATGTTTGTAGAACTGCACCCTCCAACATATTTTTGTGTTGGAAGCCCCATGTTTGATGGTGAAGTGAAACAGTTTGGGACTCAAACCTGAGCTTTGAAAAATGGTCTTGACTGGTGAAAGCGCCGCGGTTTTGATGATAAAAAATCGAAGATCTGGCTGCACAACTGGGATGACTGTAGTTGAACAGGAATGCCGAGATCTTTGTCCAGACCCTCCACATCCAATCCTATTGCCAGAGCATGATCTGCAGGCCCAATCACATCTTCAGGCATTGCCACTCTCTCAACGGACCCTGATTCTTAGGGAACAAACCTTTCTCCCGCAGCTTTGTTCATCTGGATATGGTTCCTAAATGATGCATAGGTAGTAATAATAACAGTGATAATAATAGAAACAATATGTAACAATAATAGTAACAACTGTATATTGTAATACTAAATACGATAACCCCCCTAAACATGTACGGTTGATCCTGAAAAGTATCAATCCAGTTGGTTTCCGTCTTTTTCCGGTTAAATTCACAGTTTGGGTTTGGATCATGATCCAATTATATATACCAGTTTTATATATATATATATATAAGCTATATAAGCGGTATATCAATGTACACTTTTAGCATCTTTTAGCAGCAGTTATATAAGCTATACATAGCTATACCAGTAACCGAGTTAACTCCCCATTTCTTCTTCGTTTACCGAACTATCTCAGGAGTTTTGTGGTTCCACAAAGGTACCTCAGCAGTGCTGCCCAGCAGCCAGGGACTTCAAATGATCTGCTCCAAAAGCACCAAAGATGCTGCCTTCCAACAGACCTGGGGGTTCAACCTGGACCCCTGGTCTCAACATCACAGTGCTGAGATTCCGAATGACTTTAAATGGGTTTACTGTTCGAACATGTTGATGTTTGAATGCTAAATATCATCTATAATTCGGGGATTCCAATGTTTGTTGCCAGGTTTGATTGCTAGAAGCTATCCCGCTCGGGACCCTGGTGTTCATGGTGTCATTGCCATCAATTCTGGACCTTCAAACAATATCAAACAATACACAAATGGCTTGAACATTACAAAATATGCTGGAATGAACCACCAAAAAACAAAAAGGCCATGATCATCTTATTCACCCTGCGGTGATCAAACATGGCAAGCCGGGAAATGTCCTGTAAATGGGCGTATGTATAAAACTCAGCAAACTAAATGGGGATTTTCGTAGTCAAACATGGCTTGCTGGGAAACCGTTTCCCAGCAAGCCATGTTTGACTACCAAAATCCATATATATATATATTTATTTATTTATTTATCTATATACAGTATATGCAGTATATACAGTATAATATTGATATCTATATAGGATATAATATTGGGATATAAGTAATTATTACCTTAGTGCCCCCCTTGAAATTTGAGGGCACGGGCTGTGCACACACCGTAGCGGTAAACAGAATGACATCCCCCAACCTCCAGAGTTTGGCTACAGGATGAAGCACCCAAAGGTAAGTGTATCCAAACATATCCCAAACTAAGGTTTCTACAACAAGGGTGACCACCCTCAAGTTTCCCCACAAAAAAAAAAAACATAGGTCCGTCCGTCCATAGGGAATTTTTCAATAGTCCGCGTTGGGGCACAACCTATTCTGAACCTGCCGACTACTGGCAATGGCCTCAAAAAAACACCGCCAGTGGCAAGGCCACCCATTCAGTGGATCATCCCACAGATCGTAACAAGCCTAGTTAGTAAGTCCCCATTGCGTGGGGTTAACCTATATATAAGTGGGTGGACTCACCTCAACACTGACCAGTTACGATCTGATGATCCTCCAGTTATTGTCCCAAGTCCAAGAACTTGGAGGATGGCGATATCTTGTGGTCGGAAACATGGCGAAACCGTTGTTGTTTCTTGCTAATGTCAAAAGAAGCCCATGTTTTGCAGATAAATATCCCAGTCAGTCTGGATATCTATTTTTTGTTGGTGTATCCTAGTGTATCCATGAACATCTCTGATTCCCAACAAGTAGCGTAGCCTCCCATCGACTCCCGACTGGTCCATGGGTCTCATGACCCGACCTTCGGAGAAAATCTGGAAATCCTTGGAGTCAACCTCCATTGAGAAGCCAGGAACCCTGTGCGCCTGCTGGCGGCCATTGGCGGCTCAACATGTCGTGGACGGCTTGAGGCAGAACTTCTGAATGTTCATTCTCTAGCGGAATATGATATGTCAATATGTTATAATATGTCTCCGTCCTATGGCCGAATGATCATCTGAATCAAAAACCAGCCAACAAACAACATGAGACTTAGAGTCAGAACAACAAATATCTACACATGAATATATTTGGGTCTTCCACCAAAACACCCCTTAAACCAATGGAAACATAATTCGGCATAACAACTTGGGTGTCGATCCTGCAGGTCGGGGCGGGAGGGTTCGGACAAAGATGTCAACATCTGAGCGCCTCGGTGCTGAGAGGCGAAAATTTAACAACAACCAACGGCCTGAAGCAAAAACCAAGCAATGGGTGCCCGTAATCTCATGGACATATATTGAAATACATTGAAATGGCCATTGAAATATATATAATTATATATATATTATATAGATCATCATTTCGATCATCATTCTCCTTAGTGAAATATATTGAAATGGCCATTGCAGTGCCAGCAATGGGGCGCCCAAAAATCTCATAGCCAATTTCATTATTGCTAACCATCATTTCTCAATTATGGTTAATTATGCCATAATTATGTCACCATTTTGAGGGTGTAGCCCAATTTCAGACTTCAGACCCAACCAATTGGGCATGATTAGACCGAAGGACCTATGGGAGGAAAGGGCATTTCATTGGGCGTGCTGGGAGTCCCTAAAATGCAGGAAGCCATGTGGGTATGGCTCTGGCGCACAAATGGCTGGTCAGTGTGTGCTTTATATACAGTATACCTTCAGTAAACAAACGTGGCAATGGGAAATCCCCTTGATTCACATATGTATGTATATATATATATATATATATGTATATATATATATATATGTATATATATATGTATATATATATATATATATACATATGTATATATATATATCTATATAACTGTGGAGGTTTTACTGGGAAAATCATCTATAAATGTTGGATTTTCAATGACTTTCATGGATTTTCCAGCACGCCACGTTTGATTTTTTCTTCCACCATCAATCGCCAGGTTCTTAGGGGAAACCTGGGCAGCCCAGTGAATCGATGCAGCCAGTTTTTCCTCAGTATGTTTATAACTGGCTTTTTCACATGTTTAAGAATAATCTTATATAATCTTATAATATAATATAATATACACAATTATATATATATATGTATATTTATATATATATATGTGTATATATATATATATATATGTGGATCTATTGGCAGTTGTTCTAAATTCCTTTTTCTGCAAACGGCCATTCTTCGCGAATAAAAAACTCGTGAATCTTTCGCGAACCCCACGTTTATCTTTCGCAGGGGTCTCATGTTAAAATTGTTCGCCAAATCTTTCGCCAAAAAAAAATACTCTTTCGCGAACTAAAACAAAAACATCACGGGGTCTGATAATGAAACCTGGCGGCCGTGGCAATTAAAAACCCTTACATGGAGCTTTAGAACGACTCCCATACACACATATATATATATATATGTGTGGATCTTGATGGTCATTACCATTATCCACTAAATACTAAATGGATCTAAATAGGATGCACATCCAAGAATGACTGCGACACGGCATGACCATGTACCTGACTTGGACCCACCTATAAATCAACAAAAAATGGTCGGCCAAGTCACTTTCAACGCTATAAGTTGACTTGCTTGGCCTCTCGCTTGCAGACTTTGCCAAGTGGCGAACTTTAGAACCGGTAACAAATGTTACACAGCTATGGGTTTTTAAATAGCCCTTTTTTAGGATGATTTCGCTTTTTGGCTATCTAACTAACATGTTGATTTTCCAGTTCGCAAACTCTTGCAGGACCGGTTACATGACCGGAGATTAGCTGCTACCAGTTGATGGGATGGTTGGACACTTGGCACTGGACCCAAGGAAGCTTCCAAACAAGGTACTGAGGCTTCTTATTCAACCTTATTAGCGGCTATACTTCAACCAACATATATATATATGTATTACCATATACATATATATATATATATACACACCAAAAATTGTATCCTTTAGTTGAAGCACCGCTATCTAATTTGGTTTGGGGCAACAACTCTGATCTACTGTTTAGAATTTACGTAACTTCAGATAGGGCAGGAGATGAGGGCCCTCCGGCCTAAATAGAATAGTGTTGGCTGACTCGTAGCATGTGACTATGTGTAGTCAGACCCTGAGTGGACACTAGATTTGAAATAACTCAATGTGATAGTCTGAGATGCATGTATATAATTGTGTAGATACGTAATTATATAATTCTATATGTATATATATATATATACATACACATACAGTACATATTCTACTTATACAATAACATCCATGATTTTGTTTTTTTCTCTCTCTCTCTCTCTGCTGATATGGGTCAAAATCATTGACCCCACCCACCAAACATCACCAATCTTGTGAGTCCATCGGTCCCCAATTTTGACCGACCCAACCAATCTCAACCACCTTGAAGAAAGCGTCCTTGATCTGTAACAACAAAGTGTAAGCTTTCACCAATTTTGTTTATAGGCTTCTTCATCCACCTTCATCCCAAGAATTTCCGTTTTCATGGGATGTCAATATATCCACTATCTCCAAATCGTTTAGGTAGATACGTTACGTGGCGACTGGTATGTCACAGCGTCTTTCTGCTGGCAAAACCCTGGCCAGCATCATTTATGGGCCAAGCCAAATTTGACCCATAGACAGTCCTCTATTGTTTTCTTTGGTGAAACAATTTACCACAAATTTCGAAACATGATCAACTCATCTTACTTAGTGCCATATTGCACAACAAATGTTGGGTGACAGTACACTTTTTCCTGTTACAACATGTTACACCTTTCTTTGTAAACCAAGACAAAAACGAAAAAAACAAAACAAAACGACATGACACGACACGAAACAAAACAATCAAACAAGGCTGAGGTGAAGCCCAGAACCCATCACAACGGCCTCGACTTCTTCTTCTTCACCTTCCGCTGGCTCGCTCGACTCCTAGCAAGGAATTTCGATGGCGAAACTTTGGTATGTGTTGACCCCCCAAAACATATAGATCTTAAACTGACCTTTCATGATTCATGACCTTTCTGCAGCATTTTACCAAATTGTTTTTTTTGCAAGGTTGTTATAGTACCTTTAGCAGGACAAAATATTCTCCTTTTAAACCCAAAAATTAACCTTAAACCATTCAGCCACCAAAATTTACGTAGGAAACCTCGTCCAAGGACGAAAAATGATGAACCGACCAGCGTTTGTGGCCAATGACTCCTGCTGCTCATGCTATCTTCTGACCTGGGCGCCGCGTGATCAAAAAACACGGCATGCCGTAATGGGGATGGGCCCAACCGATATTAGGGAAATCCTTACAAGATGGATATAATTGGGTGTGTGTATATATATATATACATATGTAATATATATTAATACATATATATATAATATATATATAATATGTATATATATTATATACATATATATATATTATTATATATTATATACAAATAAATTTACATAAATCATCTTAATTGATGGGGGTACACATCCTAGTTTTGACCCCACCACGAATAGGTCAGGTATGGGCCTTCTTATGCCTTCTTTGGATGTCTTTGGGATCAAATGGTGGTTCAAGGTGTTGTTGGCTATTTTGAGAAACGTCATCATCACACTTGCAGAGTTATTATGGATGGATATGCCGACTGCAGCAGTAGTGTTTTCCTTTCTGTGCCCCTTTGGGGTCTATGATTCCCAAGTCCAAAATACGCAGATTATATCCCATTCTGGTATGGTTCTACAATATTCTACACATGGAAAGCATCATTTACAGTGCGGGCGGCCAGCGAGGTTGCAAGCCCATTTGCCAAGATTATATACACTGGTCAAGGCCTCATTCTTGTTGGTCAAATCTCCATTGATGGTTAATCGATGTCTAAGTGCTAACCAATTCAGAATATAATTTGCTATTATGAAGTGGTTAGATTAATTCAATATAATTTAATTGCAGAATATAATTCACCATCATTTAATTGCAGAATATAATTTAAGTGATGATTAATTCAATATGGTTAGTTCAGAATATAATTTGCAATCCAGTAGTACCCGCACGAGGCGGGGCGGAAGTTGCCTTAAAGATATATATAAGACCTTTCTCATCTATAGAACTTGCATGCGCCGTGCGCCAGCCAAGCCCGTGCGTGCGTGCACTCTGCGAAAGTGGTGTCCTGTTTCACATGTCACATTTGAAGCTCCACTTCGCACTTCACGCTTCACACTCCACACTTCACACTCCACACTCCACACTCCACACTCCACACTTCACACTGCACGCTTCCCACTGCACACTCCACACTTCACACTTCACACTTCACACTCCACACTTCACATTTCACAGTCCACACTTCACACTTCACACTCCACACTTCACACTTCACACTCCACACTTCACACTTCACACTCCACACTTCACACTTCACGCCCCACACTTCACTCTTCACACTTCATCTCATCTGAGCTCTTCTCACCTTATCCCAGCTCATCTCTTCTCATCTCATCTCTTCTCATATGTCATCTAAGCTTTCATGAATCACTTCCCAGTGCTACTACTAAGGAACTTGCATGCGCCGTGCGCCAGCCAGGCCCGTGCCTGCGTGCTTTGTGCGAAGCTGTTGCAGTGTTGCCGTCCAAGAACATGACCTGCGCGCGACCCCGGTACAATGCAAACACTTTCCTCACACTTCACATTGCACTCTTCACACCCCACACTCCACACTTCACACTTGCACTTCATCTCAACTCATCTCATCTGAGCTCTTCTCATCTCATTCCATGTCTTCCCATATGTCAGCTCAGTTCTTCTTGGCTATTTTCATGTCAAGTACTTCCCAGTACTGATGTCTACTACAAAAGCTTGCACAAAGCACTTCCCAGTACTACTGTGTACTACAAAGCTTGCACAAAGCACTTCCCAGTACTACTTTGTACTACAAAGCTTGCACAAACTACTTCCCAGTTCTACTTTGTACTACAAAGCTTGCACAAACTACTTCCCAGTTCTACTTTGTACTACAAAGCTTGCACAAAACACGTTCCAGTACTACTTTGTACTACAAAGCTTGCACAAAGCACTTCCCATAGGCCAACCCTCTTCCCCCTTCAAGGCGCTTCACCTCCTAATCTACAAGCACAACCTTTTAACCATCAACTAATTTGTCATACAAAGCTTGCCACCAAGCACTTCCCAGTACACTTTGTACTTACAAAGCGGTGCCACAAAACACGTTTCAGAGTACTACTTTGTACTCAAAGCTTGCACAAAAACACGTTCCAGTACTTACTTTGTACTACAAGGTTGCACAAAGCACTTCCTAGATTACTACTTTGTACTACAAAAGCTTGCACAAAGGCACTTCCCAGTACTACTTTGTACACCAAAGCTTGCACCAAAGCCTTCCCAGTTACTACCTTGTTACTACCAAAGCTTGCACAAAACACTCCCCAAGTACTACAAAGCTTGCACAAAGCACGTTCCAGTACTACTACTTGTACTACAAAGCTTGCACAAAGCACTTCCCAGTACTACTTTGTACTACAAAGCTTGCACAAACTACTTCCCAGTACTACTTTGTACTACAAAGCTTGCACAAAACACGTTCCAGTACTACTTTGTACTACAAAGCTTGCACAAAACACGTTCCAGTACTACTTTGTAATACAAAGCTTCTACACACATCAAGTTCTTTCGCAGAGAAGCTTTTACACACAGCAAGCTTTTCAAGCAAAGAAGCTTTTACACACAGAAGCTTTTACACACAACAAGCTTCTTCACAGAGAAGCTTTCACACACAGCAAGCGTTTACACACAGAACACTTACAAACAGTGCTTTTACACATGGCAAGCGTTTACACACAGAAACTTTTGCACAGAGACGCTTTTACACACAGAGAGGCTTTTACACACAGCAAGCTTTTACACACAAAATCTTTTTCACACAGCAAGCTTTCAAACACAGCAAGCGTTTACACACAGAACACTTACACACAGTGCTTTTACACATGGCAAGCGTTTACACACACAGCAAGCTTTTTAAACAGAGAAGCTTTTACACACAACAAGCTTTTACACAGAAAAGCTTTACACAGCAAGCTTTCACACCCAGCAAGCTTTTACACAAAATCTTTTTCACACAGCAAGCTTTCACACACAGCAAGCGTTTACACACAGAACACTTACACACAGTGCTTTTACACATGGCAAGCGTTTACACACACACAGCAAGCTTTTTAAACAGAGAAGCTTTTACACACAACACGCTTTTACACAGAGAAGCTTTTACACACAGCAAGCTTTTACAGAAAAAGTTTTTGCACAGAGAAGCTTTCTTGTACATAATCACAATAGGAATTGCAGCTCCAAAACTGGATCTCGACGCCAAAGCGACAAAAAGACGATTTTGAAGCACTTTTTAAAAGGACTTTGAAAAGGAAAATTACTAGCGCCAAAATTGCGAAAATCTGCTGATAAATCACTTTCGCAGCCTGGACGCAGCCATTCCATTACGATTTACGATCTTCAGCTGCAAAAGACAATAGTATTACGCATGCAGCCGCTGCACCAAGCAACCTTGACGCAACCACGACAATGCGATCTGCAGAGACTGAGTTGCAAAACACAATAGAACTACGTGCAATGGCGTCGGAAATTGCAGCTCCAAAACCGGATCTCGATGCCAAAGCGACAAAAAGACGATTTTGAAGCACTTTTTAAAAGGACTTTGAAAAGGAAAATTACTAGCGCCAAAATTGAGAAAATCTGCTGATACATCACTATCGCAGCCTGGATGCAGCCACTCCAATACGATTTACGATCTTCAGCTGCAAAAGACAAAAGTATTATGCATGCAGGCGCGGCATCGAGCAACCTTGACGCAGCCATTCCAATGCGATCTGCAACCACGGCTTCAAGAAACGCATAGAACTACGCACACAGGAAGCACCATTGTTGCAAAACACATAGAAGGAACCAAACGACCCCAGCCGCAACCGCCGCACACACGAGGTACCTTTCATCGCCGGCTGCAGCCACTTTACACGGAAAAACACAAGGTTTCGTGCTCCGGCTTCCTCCACAAAACAAAGCCCATGCAACATTCATGCAGCCATTCCAATGCGATCTGCAACCACAACTTCAAGAAACGCATAGAACTACACACACAGGAAGCACCATTGTTGCAAAACACATAGAAGGAACCAAACGACCCCAGCCGCAACCGCCGCACAGACGAGGTAGCTTTCATCGCCGGCTGCAGCCACTTTACACGGAAAAACGCACGGTTCCGTGCTCCGGCTTCCTCCCCAACACAAAGCCCATGCAACATCATGCAGCCATTCCAATGCGATCTGGCACCACAGCGTCAAGAAACACATAGAACTACGCACACAGGAACAAGCATTGTTGCAAAACACATAGAAGGAACCAAACGACCCCAGCCGCAACCGTCGCACAGACGAAGTAGCTTTCATCGCCGGCTGCAGCCACTTTACACGGAAAAACAATGAAAAACACACGGTTTCGTGCTCCGGCTTCCTCCCCACAACACACGGCATGCAACATCATGCAGCCATTCCAATGCGATCTGGCACCACAGCGTCAAGAAACGCATAGAACTACGCACACAGGAACAAGCATTGTGGCAAAACACAGAAGGAACCAAACGACCCCCAGCCGCAACCGCCGCACAGACGAGGTAGCTTTCATCGCCGGCTGCAGCCACTTTACACGGAAAAACACACGGTTTCGTGCTCCGGCTTCCTCCCCACAACATAGCCCATGCAACATCATGCAGCCATTCCAATGCGATCTGGCACCACAGCGTCAAGAAACGCATAGAACTACGCACACAGGAACAAGCATTGTTGCAAAACACATAGAAGGAACCAAACGACCCCAGCCGCAACCGCCGCACAGACGAGGTAGCTTTCATCGCCGGCTGCAGCCACTTTACACGGAAAAACACAAGGTTTCGTGCTCCAGCTTCCTCCCCAAAACATAGCCCATGCAACATTCATGCAGCCATTACAATGCGTTTCGCAGCCCACAGCTTCAAGAAACGCATAGAACTACGCACACAGGAACAACCACTCGTTGCAAAACACATAGGAGGAACCGATTGAACTCGAAACGATCCAAACCGCAACCGCCGCACAGACGAGGGACCTTTCATCGCCGGCTGAAGCCACTTTACACGGAAAAACACAAGGTTTCGTGCTCCGGCTTCCTCCCCACAACATAGCCCATGTAAGATTCACGCAACCATTCCAATGCGATCTGCAACCACAGCTTCAAGAAACGCATAGAATGACGTACACAGGAACAACCATTTCTTGCAAAACGCACAAAACGACCCCAGCCGCACCCGTCGCACAGACGAGGTACCTTTCATCGCCGGCTGCAGCCACTTTACACGGAAAAACGCAAGGTTTCGTGCTCCGGCTTCCTCCCCAAAACAGAGCCCTTGCAACATCATGCAGCCATTCCAATGCGATCTGCAAGCACAGATTCCAAAACACCCTATAACTACGCACACACAAGCACACCCAAAGCAGCGTGAAGCCACCGTTACACTGCGGCAAAAAAAAAACGATAAACCGACCGCAGCCGCAACCGCCGCACAGACGAGGTACCTTTCATCGCCGGCTGCAGCCACTTTACACGGAAAAACACAAGGTTTCGTGCTCCGGATTCCTCCCCACAACATAGCCCCATTCATGCAGCCATTCCAACACCACTTCCCTTCGTCACCACTTTTCGTCGTCACCACTTCGCTCCCCTTCATCATCACGTCACCACTCCCCTTCATCATCATCACTGTCACTTCCCTTCGTCACCACTTCCCTTCGTCACCACTTCCCTTCGTCCACTTCCCTTCCTCACTACTTCCCTTCCTCACCACTTCCCATCGTCCCCGCCTCCCTTCCTCACCATTCCCCTTCATCATCACTTCCCTTCGTCACCACTTCCCATCGTCACCACTTCCCTTCGTCACCACTTCCCTTCGTCACCACTTCCCATCGTCACCACTTCCCTTCGTCACCACTTCCCTTCGTCACCACTTCCCTTCTTCACCACTTCCCTTCGTCACCACTCCCCTTCATCATCACTTCCCTTCTTCACCACTTCCCTTCGTCACCACTCCCCTTCATCATCACTTCCCTTCTTCACCACTTCCCTTCGTCACCACTTTCCTTCTCCACCACTTCCCTTCCTCGCCACGTCCCTTCGTCACCACTCCCCTTCATCATCACTTCCCTTCTTCACCACTTCCCTTCGTCACCACTTCCCTTCCTCACCACTTCCCTTCCTCACCACTTCCCATCGTAACCACATCCCTTCGTCACCACCCTGTGTCATAGCTTCTTATTCTTTTGTTATGTATTGTCATGTGATCTACCACCTTTCATCATAGTCAATTTCATCGCTTCTTATTCTTTTGTTATGTATTGTTAGATTATGTTTTGTTATGTGATCTACCACCCTTCTTCATAGTCAATTTCATAGCTTCTTATTCTTTTGTTATGTATTGTTGGATTATGTTTTGTTATGTGATCTACCACCCTTCATCATAGTCAATTTCATAGCTTCTTATTCTTTTGTTATGTATTGTTAGATTATGTATTGTTATGTGATCTACCACCCTTCATCATAGTCAATTTCATCGCTTCTTATTCTTTTGTTATGTATTGTTAGATTATGTTTTGTTATGTGATCTACCACCCTTCATCATAGTCAGTTTCATAGCTTCTTATTCTTTTGTTATGTATTGTTGGATTATGTTTTGTTATGTGATCTACCACCCTTCATCATAGTCAATTTCATAGCTTCTTATTCTTTTGTTATGTATTGTTAGATTATGTTTTGTTATGTGATCTACCACCCTTCATCATAGTCAATTTCATAGCTTCTTATTCTTTTGTTATGTATTGTTAGATTATGTATTGTTAGATCACGTACCACCCTTCATCATAGTCAATTTCATCAAGTAAAAGTCATTCGTAACTCGGAAGTATTGCTTCCCAACTTCCTTTGATAATTTAATAGTATCTAAGTGCAATTCAATTATACATGGTTAATCGGTGCTTGCTGTAAGCAACCCATAATTTGCTGAGAACCATCCAACTACTTGATTTACCTGATTCATTAGACCTAGGAGAGTACAACAATATTGGTCATTTCTTGTGGTATCAACCATCCATTTGTGGGTACCCCAGATGGTTTGTCTTCTGAAATTTGGGCAATTATTACACCACCTCTAAAATCCTTGCCTTATCATTGAACTCCCTATTTAATTGACCATTCATAAAAAAAAAACTGCCATTTAAATTGGGAAATTGATGGTAAACCATATAGACATTTGCGAGTGAATCCCCTATATTCAGACAGTCAACCAGCATTTTTCACCATTTTTCACAGCGGCGGGCCTCCTTCCGAATGTTCCCCAAACAGCCCCTCCGAGCCGCTGACATCAAACTGCTTCGTGAGAAACTCCCAGAGGCCCGCCCTGACATGAGTGATTTTCGAGTATAAGAGCATGGTGTAAATATATATAAGCTTTATTTAGGAGTACAAGAGCTGTAAGTAATTAACATGTTGTAAGTCATCGCTTTTTACAACCTCAAACCAATTTAACATGACCTTCACTTTTGGAGTTTGACCTCCATGTTCGAACAACCTTTACCCCGTCGAAACTGATTTGAAATGTCAAATGTCGCAATCAATTCTCCCGTTTCCACGTTGCATTCAGACTCTAAAGGTGGATAAACTATATACTATATATCCTTCAAACAAATGTCGAAAGTGCACAAGACTTCTGGAGTTGCTTCATCTCCACCCCTGATCTGGTTCATTGGCTCGCTCGATTCGATCTGATCTGTTGTCACTCAACAATACTTCAGAAGCAATTGGCAGACTAATTCAAGTTTGGACCAAAACAATCCCGAATTTCTAGATCCAAGAGATTCCAAGAAAATCAAGAGAAACATACTCAACACCCCTCCTTCCCCAATATCGAATCAAAAAAGGCACCAACTCGGAGACGTGAGAAGTGGAACTTGCAATTTAGAGATATCTAGGCATCTACGGCGACCCAATGATCCTGATGTAAAGTGCTTTTTGAACCTACAATTCACCGCATTTGCCGGGGATGAACGTCCTATCACCAGCTGATTTATCAGCTGATTTATGTCAAACCTAAGGTAGATTTGCAGGTGTTGTTCCATATCAGATGATTACTCGACAGCTGTTGCCATAGACAACCATATCATAACCATATCATAGCCATAGACATAGACAAAACTATAGGTTGCAAAAATCCGTAGATGCTGGTTGTCCATCATAATAGCCGCTGCATTTTCCATGACTTTTGACCCCTCGTCACAGGGCCTTGACTCTGATGGCTGGTGGCTTCCTGACCAGGCTTGGCCAAAAACTGTTGCGTTCGCCAGGAACATGGACAATTTGTCCAGCAACAAAGTATTTAACTGAATGTAAGTGGTTTAATTTAACCCCAAGCGCGCCCGAACTGGACAATTGGATGGTTTGATGTGGTTGACAGTCCGGATGGATCCGCTGATGGCCACACCCCTTCGTTGCTACGAGCGCAGTAATTCAGGATCTACGTTAGCAAAAGACTCATATCCAATGCCAAGATCACAATTCTTTGCTAAGGGTCAAGGCCAAAGCTCCCGTTTAGTCATCAAAGCATTCGATGATGCCCCCATTGAACTGGCCCAAAATCTGGATGGCCTGGGCCTCTGTGGGGAAGCTCTGGCGCCAGTCTCCATGACGATAGGTGCGAAAGGGCATGCTGCGACGACCACCTGGCGATTGATCCCCCCTAAGATACCTGCAACAAGGGACCCAAACGGCATAGATTCAGAGCTCAACGGGTAAGGCAGCTATATTCAATATTTGCGAGAAAAGATTCGGTACAGTTCTAACAATTCTCGATGAATTGATTTCAAGGGAAGATCTCTAGGAAACGATTGATTCTACCCTGAAAGACAGTGTATACTATATATATATACTATATGTATATTATGTATTTACATGTGGTAAAATTATGCCAGGTTTTCCGTGCGTTTTGTTTTCCATCATCCAATTCTGGTAAGTTGTGCTAGGGGGAGGGGTTTTTTAATCTGCTCCCCGGACTTGTCTAAGCCCACTAACTTCTCATGCTGTAACATGTTGTAACCCACTGTCCGCAACAACTCATGGGGTAAGAACACCTCTGGGTTTGTTCCAAAAGCAAACATCGATCAACCATGGATGTTGGGGTACCTTGGGGTACCAAGTTTCAGGCGAACCCTACAGCGGGGACGAGGTCAACCCAGCACTCTAGCTGTGGCAACCCAATGCCATAGTTGGGACTTAACCCCTCAACAAATAGTGTATCATGGGGACTCAAGTAAGAACATGTAAGAACATGTTGATATATCATGACATGATATACGCAGGAAAACTGGGAAACCCAATAATAAGCAACTTTTCTGGATAAGGCTTTCAATACTCAACTTAAATGTGTTGTTTTTCTTGAATACATGTGGTATGGACTATTCTTGGTTTTGCCAAATTACCCAAATTAGAGGATCAACAAGTGTAACGTTTGTGTAAGACCTTGATAAGTCAAGGGAATATACCCCCATGGAAGTCTTATGTGGCACATATTATAAGTAGCATTGGAGATCATAAACATCTAAGGAACTACACACACTAATATTCACAGGGGTTGATGCCGGTTCATATCCCCAAAACTCAAAAAACAGCTTATAGATAGATGGATAGATAGATAGATAGACAGATAGATAGATAGATAGATGGATGGATAGATTAGTGTTGGGAGGTGACCTTGCCCTTGGATTTTAGCGAGCAAATACCCCCCTCCCTTCCCTCCTGAGCTCGTTACCTGCTGCTGACTCTGCTCGTGAACTCGTTCGAGACATTGGAGTGGCTGACCTGGGACTCCAATGCGACTGGAGCATCATCCCACTCAGTACTTGCTTTAAAGCTGCTGGGGAAGCATCCTTAGCAGGATGGCCTCATATAGCGATGGGAAAAATGATCGATGATGATAGATGCTCAACGTATGACTACTGACCAGTTAGAAAGTGAGATGATGCGTGCAATAGTGAAGTGGTCCAATTACCAATACTAAGACTTAAGTTGTTTGTGTAAAAAACATACATATGTATATATATATATATATTATTTCATATCATGTATGTATATAAATCCGTACACATCATGTAAGCATCTAAATAAGACTATAAACATTATACAACACACATATATGTAATTATGTATATATTATAAATATACAAACATATACATATATATATATATATAAATTAGTGATGCTCATGGCTACCACCTTTGCTGACTCTGTTGGTCGCAAAAGCACCCAACCAGACTAACCAGACCCTGAGAATCCGGGACCGAAGCGACAAGCGCGACAAAGCGTTCAGATGTCTGGACTGCCGGGTTGGTGTCCTGAAAATCTGAGAATTTGCGGCTTTGTCATGGTTTGTCTATAGCCATTTAATATGAACAATTGATAATCCAATGGTTTGCCTATAGCCATTTAATATGAACAAATATGATAGTCCAATGGATTTAAGGGTACTATTTTCAGACACAATTTGAGAAGGCATTCAAGCAACAAAGAAGTGGAGGTCAAGAGACCATGCTTTGGAATCTGACAGAATGGACAAATCAAAGACAGGCGTTGAATTCAAATATATATATATATATATTAATATTTATGCACACACTGTAATTATATGTGTATAAATAAATAAATAAATATATATATATATATATATATGGTCACCGTCCTATATACATTATACATATGTATATGTAAATCATGATTTTCTCTTCAGGCACAAGCTTAGCAGCCCTACGAGGATCCAGGTGGGTGTATGTGTATGTACATGTAGATGTTTAACTCTACAAAATTGTTATATATATATTTCAACAACTGAAACATGTTGTTTCTCTAAGCGGGTTTATGCAGATAGTAACCTTTGTTCTACCCTCTGATAATCAAACATGGGAATTGAAAATCCTGTAGAAACACGGTCTTGATGGGAAAATCATCGATAAATACGCAGATTTTCCATTGCCATGTTTCATTATCAAAGGGTAGACCAAAGTTTCCCCGTTGAAGTAGGATAATTTTGTTATTCCTAACGCAAAACACAGTGGTTAACCTTGCATATGGATCACCAATACAAAAAAAACCTTTGATTCTCAACATTTTCGATGGCACCCAAATGAGCAATCGGCAAAATCAAAGGTCGAGCAGCCTTGACAACCCGTGGGCCATTGAACTAACTCCTTTTCATAATTCCTACTCCTACTTAATACACCTACCAATATCCAGAATCCAGTTTTACCGTCCTGCACGCGTAGAGAAGGCAAATCATAATTTCCATACAATCCACACTTCGGCCATAATCCCCAGATTCAAGACTCAAGTAGATCATCCGTGTATTTTGGCGTTCTCTGCTGCTATGTTGTATCAACTACATATTTGAGTTTCAACCGCTCACAATTTCAACTACTATCCCATGTCCAACTGGGGAAACCTATCATGGTCACTGACAGATTCAGTTTCCCAGGGTGAAGATCGAATTACTCCCTGCAGAGATGTCTTTCAGTGGGAAGGGATTATAGATTATAGTCTATAGTATTCAAAACAAGGACGTTGTGTGGGCCCCTGTCTAAAAAAACACTTACTGTAGACCTACACTAAATATCTAACATAGATACATGTTTTGACCATTCATTCAAAATCACCTTTTGTAGCACCAGCCGCATGATTCTCCCTTGTCAGAAAAGATCAACCAGATTTACCATGGCCAAAAATATTAGACACAATGCAAAACATGTTGCTTAGTTAGCGTGTGTAAAACATGTCGTATCTATATTGGTCTGAGTCAAAACGATGTTACCCTAGTGAACCTCATTCCCTCCAAATGTGATGATGTAGGTTTTCACACATCCACATTTCAATGTGTACAGTGTACAGCAAAATAATGCAAGCATTATCCCGGCAAAAGACCCCAAAACAATGCTGAAAGGAACATGAAGAAAAGATACTGAGATACCTTGTTAAATTCTGCAAGTTCCCTATGTGAAGGTGTCACAAATGTCTGTAGAAGATCGTGTCTGAGATCTTCGTGACAGGTTCTGCGTAGAAGCTGCTGTGCAAGATCCCTTTGTAAGGCTACCTGTCTGTACAAGGTGTCTTCAAGAGATCTCCACAGAAGCTCCCTAAAAAACTTCAAAGGTTCAAGATTTCTATGAGATCTCTGGACAAGATTTCTGTCCTCTTCACCAGGTCTCTGTACAAGATCTTTACAAGAGGTCACTTGGCAAGATCTCTGCACAAACTCTCTACAAGCATCTCCTGGCAAGATCTCTGTTAAAAATCTCGTGGCAAGATCTCTGTACAAAATCTCTACAGGAGGTCTCTTGGCAAGATTTCTGTACAAGCTCTTTATAAGAGCTCTCTTGGCAAGATCTGATTCAGAAATCTCTGCACAAACTCTTTATAAGAGCTATCTTGGCAAGATCTCTGTAAGAGACCTCTTGGCCTCTTGGCAAGATCTCTGTACAAGATCTCTATAAGAGGACTCCGTGGCAAGATCTCTGCGGAAGCTCTCTATAAAAGACCTCTTTCACAACGAGAGGGTTACGCGAGCGATCTCGAAATGAGCAGCATGCGACAACGAAAGCGATGCGAGACCCAAAGTGACGAGAAGGTTGCGCGAGTGATTGCAAATTCGCACCGCACCACAACAAGAGCGATCTGAGAAGCCTAACATGACGAGAGGGTTGCTGGAGAGGTCTCCGGGGACACCATTTCCACGAGGCTTCCGTCGAAAAACGGAAGATTAAGGAGCTTTTGTGCTGTAAGGGTCAGCAAAAACGGTATGAGAACACTCGAATGAACACCCGGCCTGAACTGTTACCGTAAGAACCCCAAGTGTGGCCACACTGTTTGGGGAAAACAGACCCAAAAGTGCCCACCCAAGGTTGATTCAGTTGCCCAGGGTAAACTGCCCTAAAAAGATGTGGAAAATCCACGGTTTCCCTGCAAGAATGATCTACAAATAGTGAGTTTTCCACATCTCCTGCAGCTTGGCTCCTGCTCCAAATGCTGGGTGACCACGGCGCATCCCGTCCAAAGACTGGGGACCTGAGGCAAGTCCAAATGGCTATGGCTACAACTTTTGGACATGTGAATATTCATTGTCACTGGATACAAGATTATATTATGCATACATTATAGTGATTATGTTCATAAAACATAGATCTACAATGATCTACATATCATTGATACCAGTAGTAGTATATAACAACAACAATGATAATGAATAATTAATAATAACTAAATAAAAAAAAGATTACTTTACTTCGTGTGATCCCCACCATGACATTTATACATTTTGTTACTGGCAAATCTTCTGGCATTCTATCTGACATTTTATCTGGCATTCTATCTGGCATACCTTCTGGCATTCTATCTATCATACCTTCTGGCATTTTACCTGGCATATCTTCTGGCATTCTATCTGGCATATCTTCTGGCATATTATTTGGCAAATCTTCTGGCATTCTATCTGGCAAACATTCTGGCACTTTATCTGGCATACCTTCTGGCATTCTATCTGGCATTCTATCTGGCATATCTTCTGGCATATGTTCTGGCATATCTTCTGGCATATCTTCTGGCATTCTATCTGGCAAATCTTCTGGCATATCTTCTGGCATTCTATCTGACATATCTTCTGGCATTCTATCTGGCATATTTTCTGGCATATATTCTGACATATCTTCTGGCATTCTATCTGGCATTCTATCTGGCATATCTTCTGACATTCTTTCTAACTTTCTTCTGCACATTCTTTGTCCCATATCTTCCTACATGAGGTCCGGCAGGGAACACTTGGCGTGGATACTCGCAGTTGAGGTCCGGCAGGGAACACTGGGCGTGGATGGTCGTGGTTGAGGTCCGGAAGGGAACACTGGGCGTGGATGGTCGTGGTTGAGGTCCGGCAGGGAACACTGGGCGTGGCTGGTCGTGGTTGAGGTCCGGCAGGGAACACTGGGCGCGGATGGTCGTGGTTGAGGTCCGGCAGGGAACACTGGGCGTGGATGGTCGTGGTTGAGGTCCGGCAGAGAACACTGTGGATCGCGGGTCGCAGTTGGACGAGGACGACGAGGACGACGAGGACGACGAGGACGACAAGGACAACAAGGATGACAAGGAGGACGAGGAGGAGGAGGAGAGGAGGACGAGGCAGGAGGAGGCGGAGGAGGAGGAGCAGGAGGAGGAGGAGGAGGCAACTGACATAAAATCTAACAACCCTCACCTGGCAGGTGGGGAATTAATAATAATGATCACAACAATGATAATAATAATAGTACTAGTATATATATATATATTAATATTAACAATAACAATCATAATAACATAATATAGTAATCATAAAATATAATATAGTAATAATATAATATAATATAATACAATATAATATAATAAAATAGAATAAGCAATAATATAATATAATAAAATATAATAAATTTTATAAAATATAATATAATACAATATAGTAAAATATAATACAATATAGTATAATATAAAGTAATATAATATAATATAATATAACAAAATATAATTTAATATAAGAATAAAATATAATATGATATGTATATATATATGTAATATACAAATATGTAATCAACAAAACAACATGATAATATATAATATATGTAATAAATCACACATAATAAAAAATATTATATAAAATACAATATATATATATATATATATATTAAAATACATTATATGCAATATAATAAGTAAACAATAATATACAATATACAATATGAAATAACATATATATAATATATAATAAAATATATACAATATACAATATGTAATAAAATATAAAAAATATACAACCAAAAATAAATCTATAACAAAAATAAAATATAATATAATATTTTTTAAATATATATATATAATATCATACAAATAAAATATATAATATATAATCTACAATCGTTAATATATAATATACAATATATAATATATAATATATAATACTTAATAAATAATATATAATATAAAATATATAACATATATTTATAATTTATAATAAACAAATAAACCGTATATTAAATATATATATATATTATTGTTATTCATATAGTGGTTTGAAGACGTAAAAATCATCGCAGTGCTGTTGATGCTGTTGGTGGTTGTGAGCCACTGACTAGTGGTGTGGATTAAGAAAACACACTCTGCTGGGATGACACCCCAGGTTGTCATTCAATTTCATGGTTATATTTCATGGGGAAACTAATGGGAAAAGGGGTCCCCCTATTTTTCGGAACTACCCCCCGTGAAATTCCACCTCAAACAATTAACAATTCAAACTGTCAGATAACCAGATCTGCGCTTGATTCCACCAACTAGGATGTGCAATGCCGCGGAAAGGATCTTCCATTCATGTCCTTCAATGCTTCGAACCATGTCTGGGAACCTGCTGGCGATCCAGCATCCAATCTGTTTATAGATACACCTGTATATATACATATGTTGTCATTACAAACAGTTGCAAATGAATGCCGATGTAAACAGATGTCATAATTACAAGTGAACAAAAACAAACTAAATTATATCCCCATTATACAAATCACCCCCATTGAAAAACACTATTTAGCCGACTGACAACAAAAGAGCCTGCTGTTTCGGCAAATCTCTGGGAGGCTGACTGACCACATGGCAGCAAGAGCCTAAGGCTAAATCCCGGCAGTCACAACCAGCAAACAACCAGCAAACAACTCCCAACAACCAGGATTTTACCAACAAGAACGAACATTTAGCCAACAAACATCGGGATTTAACCGTTTAACCAACAGAAACCTACATGAAAACAGTTATTGAAGCAGCACGTGACCAACAACAATGAGAATTTCGCTCACAAAAATGATGATGCAACATGATGCAACCAACAAACATATAAACATAGTGAATTGAACAGCGAAAATCCCATGGGGATGTAACTACCAAAACTGGGGATTCAACATGTCAAACCTCAGGATGCAACCACGAAAATGGCGATTCGAGCAATGAACAATAAATACAGGGATTTAACCGGCAAAAACGGACATGTAACATCATGTAACCATCAATGATGGAATCATCAGCTTGCAACTTCATTGAGGGACGGATAAAGCTTGGCCCAGTTGGAGAACCTTGCAAACCTTGCTTGGCATCGTCATCTTCCCTTCTCCAGAGATGAAAACATTGGAACACACCAATCGGGAATATGCATGTGGCTCAGAGTCAGCTTTGTTTCCCCTCGATCTGTCATGTAATTTCGCTCTTGCCAACGGAATCCGACGAAAATGGTGGACTAGCCCCGCTAAAATGGTGCATAGTGGTGCAATGATGCACGTATTGCACGTATTGCACGACAGGCTTGGCGGGTAAATTGCTTTGCAACACTTGCACCTTTTTTCTTCACACCGAATCGCTGTAGATCTCCTCTTCAGTAACGACCATCGATTGTTCCGCACCGCATTTTGGGCATGGGACCCTGAGAACTCCTCGTCGTCGTTCGTGGGTCTTGAGGGAACAGTCTGGTCATACCAGTCCATTAAAAAAATTGCATGCACCGGGGCACACATGCAGCGTAGTTGCCAGAAAGTGTCATCAATGGCTACAAGCGACAAACGTGCCAGAGTTGATCTGATGTTTCTTGGTAACAGGATGAGCTTGCATAGGCCAGCGTCCGCAACATATAATCCTAGAAATATCCTATAGAGTATAACCGCAAGAATAAGAGGAGGATCATGGCTGACACAGCAAATACTTCCGCTTCAAAATTCTCCATGGCCAAATTCGATGAGTCTCTCTCTGAAATGTCATAAACAGTGGTCTCTATACGTGGATTGGCCCTTTGTAAAATTGGATACCGATTTGAGATGATTTGAGTATACGTTAAAATCATTTCATTGGTTTTGTTTGAAACTCCTATGATCAACCAATGAATGGATTGAGGATGTTTGAGGATGGTTGCAACCGATCATATCATGATACAATGTCAACCCCAGATTCATAAACCATGGTTGATGAATGGGTCTCCACAAAAAATGAGAACCTCAAATTAAATAAAACATGGTAACCCCAAAATAAACAGCCTCAGGGTCCATATAACTGGGGCTGGCATTATCATGAGTATGGGACGGGATGTTATTAAATTGGAGAAAATGAGAATTCAATCAACCACATTTAGGATTTAGCTAGCAACAATGAAGCACAGTTTAAACGCGTGGCTGCGAGATGCAAATCTCCCAGAAATAGGGACGGGAGGCAACAAGCTTGCCAAACTAGTTCTGCAACTTTTCCACGTGTATAAACTGTGTTAACCCATGTCAACATACCTACTATTATATACTATCGATGATGATAATAATAATAATAGTAACAATAACAATAATACATATATATATATATATGTATATATTATATGTACATGTGTTTATTGATGTTTTATGAATACAACAACCTTCAACCAAAATTGTATTCATATGTGCAAGTTGGACTGCTTTGGCTTGGAAATACGCTGTACCGTCTCCAACTTTTCTCCAGATCTCGTGCGGATATCTGCATCTAAAGCACCGGTTTCCACTGGGATTTGCATCACCATGAGCACTCCTGCGGATGTCAGCCTGTTTCCCCAATTTCATGATTAATGGGACTTAGTGGAGATAAATGGGATATTGATTGGACATTGAACAAATAAATAATCTAATTACTGTTGATTGAAACAATAAGTGGAAGGTATACCCTTTTGATTGGAGATAAATGGGATAGTATACCCTCTGGTGTTTTTTCACGCTTTGCGAACTGGAAAATCACAAAATCTTCGAAGAGGCAAATCGTCGAACTCAATTGGCCATCAACAGTGCTTTACTCATGACTTGCTAGTTAAAACATGTTGGAACTCTTGACACAAGTCTGTAGCAGGTTTAAAAAACTCTACTGTACAGTTTATATATTCAGGAAAAAAACAGTGCTAAAAGTCATATAGATATTGATTTGTTTTGTTTTTTAGATTGGAACAATCACGCCCTTAACAAATAGACATAAGCAATAGAATAACAATAGACAATGACTACATGAAACCCAATACTCTGGGCAAGTGACAGGATCTCTTACTTGGCAATAGGTTAATGTTGGGAGAAAACAACAGCTTACACTCCCTTGCGAAAAAAATCCCCAGCATCATCGGCAGCAACTCGCAAACACATGGAATGTCATCAATTCCCACTACATCATCCAAAAACCTCCTAAGATCATACAAATGGAGCTTTCCTAAAATGGGGGGTACCCCCTAACTCATCCATATTTATAAACAGGGATTTTCAATGGATTTTCCATCAACCAAAAAAAAATCCAGCTATTGGGGTACCCCCATGACTATAGGAAACCCCCTCCCCTCGGCACCGGCGACATCTCACGCCAGGATCCAGCGATCTGCCGAAAGGCAGAAGATGACTGGAGGGAAGCCGAAAAAACTTGGAACCAATAACTATGGTTGGTTATAACTGATAGTTGGTGATAAATGGCTATAACTGATAGTTAGTTTGAAATTTAACTGTATAGTTATAAACCGTTCGATAGTTAAGTTGGTGCACATAACTCCAATCACTATGGTTTACTATACTTATAACTATAGTATTTATGGAATTTATAAACCAACTTATAACTGGGGGGCCCCACACCGCAGGGCAATTTCATATAGATGTGGAAAACCATGGAAAACCCGCCAGAGAACCAAACACCTCCAACTTGAGCACCAACCTACGAAGCACTCGCTTCGTATCCAAGATGTTCGAACTGGGTAACTGGGTTAAGCTCGCCAAGTTGACCATTTCCAACCCCATATCTGCCATATCTAGATGGAACCCCACTTGTATCACCCCAAAATGGCACTACTTAACCGTTGTGAAGGTCAAGCCATGTTTGGACCGTCTCCAGGACCAGACATTTCCCATGGCCGCGATGTGGGCAATGGCCTACTTCTTTCAGAAGGCCGTAGGCGCTCACGTTCAACGGAATGGGAGTAATGTCGCCCCAAATTTCCTGATTGTCGGTTCAGCCATCGAGGTAACCAAAGTAACCAAAACGAAAGGTAACAAAAAATGCGGGCAAACTGCTGTAAACTGTTATTTGTTATGGGCTGCGTATATTGAAATAGGTCCACATGAAGTAGACTCAGTAGACTGACAATATGATTTTGTTTGGCCTGTACTATATTAAAATATAAGATACTCTCTAGGGAACAAACGTATCCACTTTTTTGTGGGAAAAAAGTTTTTTTGGATACGTTAGCTGCTGTGAACATAGGCTATGATAAATACCCTATACTTGAGACATGTTAGTTGAAAATCCAGAATGGACATGTTAGTGGAAAAGTTGTCCCCCCTCTGGGGGTTCCCGGGAAACTGCCAGAAGACTACCGCCCTGGACGCCCTAGCATCCTTATTTCCAGACCCCAATAGGGCTCAAATCAAAGACCGCATTGATAACAAAACGGTGGAGAAAAAAGGGGCCCCAACTGGGTTTTTTCGCGAGCTTGCGGGTTCGTAGGGAATAAGGTCTGCCGAAATGCATAAGACTGAACCAGGTGGACCAGCAGAACAATAAGAATTTCCAGTTTCAATCTGGCCTTGGAAAGAATATTCGTGACACTTTTGGTAAAGATCTCTGCGCAATCTGTAAAACTTTAAGCCCGACAAACTCCGGCGAACTTAACCTTGCGCGCAAAGATGTCCAGACATTTCCTGCGTGTGTTTTGACGTTTTCGCCCCTAAAACGCATGGAAAAACAGCACGCAGAAAGTAAAATCGCATTTTTATAACCAGTTTTTCCACGTTGGCAACAACATTTTCACGTAGCAAATTCGGCCCCGACGAACCCCGACGAACTCCGACGAACTCCGTTCCTGGGTCATCTCAGAAATTTGATTTCTATTTTTTTCCTGATTAGTTTTAACCTACCACAAAGCGACACACAGCGCCTGAATGCCAAAGTTCCTTCCTAGCTGCTACCAACAAGAACGGGGTCAGGGTCATACCTTATGTTCTAGAAATCCCTTATTCCCAACGAACCACGTTGCTCGCGAAAAAAGCCAGGGGGCCCCAACTCCTTCCGGAAGAGCGCATCATAGATGATGCTCGTGGGTGGACAGGAAGATTGGGGGTGCATTCCAAAAACCAGTTGCATTTAGCAAGGGTTGGATGACTGACCATGGAAAGCGTCCACCTAACGTGTCCGTGTTGTTCAGAGGATGTGATTTTGAGATATGTGAGTGGTTATTGGCTGAATCTATCCCCCAAAAATAGCGAACATATCCCAGATCAGGGTCGAAATCCAAGGGCCCCAATTGCAGGAACTGAGACATGTTAGCTGTTTTTGGGTCAATGGTCCCCAAAAAAGTTGCAATGCATTCCCCAGGAAATCCAGGAAAACGCCGGTACAGAGTGGACATGTTAGTTGATACCGGAAACGGTAGCCCGAGATACGTATCCACATTTTTTGTGGATTTTTTTTTGGATACTTTAGCTGCTGTGAGCATAGGCTATGATAAATGCCCTATACGTGAGACATGTTAGCTGAAAATCCAGAATGGACACCGGACACGTTAGTGGAAAAGTTGTCCCCCTCTCTGGGGGTTCCCGGGAAACTGCCAGAAGACTACCGCCCTGGACGCCCCAGCATCCTTATTTCCAGACCCCAATAGGGCTCAAATCAAAAACCGCATTGATAACAAAACGGTGGAGAAAAAAGGGGCCCCAACTCCTTCCGGAAGAGCGCATCATAGATGATGCTCGTGGGTGGACAGGAAGATTGGGGGTGCATTCCAAAAACCAGTTGCATTTAGCAAGGGTTGGATGACTGGCCATGGAAAGCGTCCACCTAACGTGTCCGTGTTGTTCAGAGGATGTGATTTTGAGATATGTGAGTGGTTATTGGCTGAATCTATCCCCCAAAAATAGCGAACATATCCCAGATCAGGGTCGAAATCCAAGGGCCCCAATTGCAGGAACTGAGACATGTTAGCTGTTTTTGGGTCAATGGTCCCCAAAAAAGTTGCAATGCATTCCCCAGGAAATCCAGGAAAACGCCGGTACAGAGTGGACATGTTAGTTGATACCTGAAACGGTAGCCCGAGATATGTATCCACATTTTTTGTGGATTTTTTTTGGGATACTTTAGCTGCTGTGAGCATAGGCTATGATAAATGCCCTATACGTGAGACATGTTAGCTGAAAATCCAGAATGGACACCGGACACGTTAGTGGAAAAGTTGTCCCCCTCTCTGGGGGTTCCCGGGAAACTGCCAGAAGACTACCGCCCTGGACGCCCCAGCATCCTTATTTCCAGACCCCAAAAGGGCTCAAATCAAAGACCACATTGATAACAAAACGGTGGAGAAAAAAGGGGCCCCAACTCCTTCCGGAAGAGCGCATCATAGATGATGCTCGTGGGTGGGCAAGAAGATTGGGGGTGCATTCCAAAAACCAGTTGCATTTAGTAAGGGTTGGATGACTAGCCATGGAAAGCGTCCACCTAACGTGTCCGTGTTGTTCAGAGGATGTGGTTTTGAGATATGTGAGTGGTTATTGGCTGAATCTATCCCCCAAAAATAGCGAACATATCCCAGATCAGGGTCGAAATCCAAGGGCCCCAATTGCAGGAACTGAGACATGTTAGCTGTTTTTGGGTCAATGGTCCCCAAAAAAGTTGCAATGCATTCCCCAGGAAATCCAGGAAAACGCCGGTACAGAGTGGACATGTTAGTTGATACCTGAAACGGTAGCCCGAGACACGTATCCACATTTTTTTGGATTTTTTTTGGATACTTTAGCTGCTGTGAGCATAGGCTATGATAAATGCCCTATACGTGAGACATGTTAGCTGAAAATCCAGAATGGACACCGGACACGTTAGTGGAAAAGTTGTCCCCCTCTCTGGGGGTTCCCGGGAAACTGCCAGAAGACTACCGCCCCGGACGCCCCAGCATCCTTATTTCCAGACCCCAAAAGGGCTCAAATCAAAGACCACATTGATAACAAAACGGTGGAGAAAAAAGGGGCCCCAACTCCTTCCGGAAGAGCGCATCATAGATGATGCTCGTGGGTGGGCAAGAAGATTGGGGGTGCATTCCAAAAACCAGTTGCATTTAGTAAGGGTTGGATGACTAGCCATGGAAAGCGTCCACCCAACGTGTCCGTGTTGTTCAGAGGATGTGGCTTTGAGATATGTGAGTGGTTATTGGCTGAATCTATCCCCCAAAAATAGCTAACATATCCCAGATCAGGGTCGAAATCCAAGGGCCCCAATTGCAGGAACTGAGACATGTTAGCTGTTTTTGGGTCAATGTGTAAAAAAAAGTTGCAATGCATTCCCCAGGAAAACGCCGGTATAAAGTGGACATGTTAGTTGATACCTGAAACGGTAGCCTGAGACACGTTTGTTCCAGTAGTTAACATGGTTCCCACTTCAGGATTCCTCATCATAGATGTTGTGCTCAGTATGACACACTTCATATTCCATTATCCTGTTGCGATGCGATTATACCGTCGCTGGATTTTGGACAAACCCGTATATGTATATATGTATATACACATATTTTATGTATAAATTATAATATTAATTGTATTTATGTGTACATCCATATGGAATCATATGGATATATCATTACATCTCATGTGTGTTGGTTAAGTCTCCCCAAGTTTGGGTCGCTAAATCCTTACACCCTCGTCCTAAAACGTGCCACCGCGCTGCGTCTCATGAGACACTTCGGCCGTCCGGCCTTCGACACAACAGGGGACAGCTCTGAAAACAGGGTCCGTTGACCCAATTGGTTGATCATCATGTTCCCAATAAAATATACCCTGGCGTAAACTAACATAGATGTGAAAAATCTTCTCTGATTGATGGTTTCAATCCCTCTGAAACATATTAGTCAGTTGGGATTATTTTTCCCAATATATGTAAAAGTAAAAAATGTTCCAAACGATGTCTGGTTGGTGGTTTTAACCATCTTGAAAAATATGAAAGTCAATGGGAAGGATTGTCCCATATATTATGGAAAACAAAAAATGTTTCAAACCACCAACCAGATGTGGAACATCTTCTGTTTAGGAAGTGATCGACAAATGGTGGAGTACCCACATCAGTATTAATTAGTTTGCAGGAGGGTAAATAAATGGCTATTTTTGGGGGGCTAGAGCCCCAGTTTCAAAGGCACCCAATTGGGGGATGCAGTGCCTATAGATTACATTGATTACATCATGCAGTACATTCCGTACAGCAATTGACGTAGAAAGACGAAACTGGTTTCAAATATATATATATATATATATACGTTGACATGGATGTCCTTCTCTTTTGAATTCACTGGAGTGTAAATGGGGATGGGGATAACGGGTGGTTTTTGAAACTGGGATTACTAAAATGGTATGTAAACCAACCAGGATTACATATGAATCAAGATTAAAGAAAATTATCTACCCATCATTGGTGCTTCTTGATATATCATGGGTATCTAAACAATGATCTAAACACCTGTAATGGGGGTATGGTATGGCGTTGCCCCTGTTGGATTTCAATGGAACTAAACGAAGGTACTATCAAACTAAGCATGGTAATGCTGTGGCTTCACCAATCATCTCGCTCCATCGGTTAACAAACCCATCAAACTGAGAAGTGTCTCAATGACTCAAACATCTCTTCTGAGGTTTGGCTATAAATTCTTCAAAAATTCTCTTTGTTTTGTCGCAAGCCTGCTTCATCCTGAGGTTAGCCGTGAAATCATCTCCTTCAAATGGAAGAATTCCACCTCTAGAGTCCAGAGGTACCATACCTCTATATGTGGCCCCCGAAATTCACCGATCAGATACCAAACCTGTTTTTGTTGGTGTTCATCATTAGAGGGTTTGGACTGCATTGCTGGACATTATATATATAAGTATATATGTATATGTATTTATTGTTATATATATATATAGGTTTGTCCAAATATGGGGTACCCTTAAATTTCATTGGTAAATTAAACAATTGTGTTAAAATCATCATCCTCATCATCATCATCATCATAATCATCATACCAGGGTATACAACATTTTTTTCAGACAAACCCATATATATATATATATATATAACATATATATATATATATAAACTTATACATACATATATGGGTGTTTCTGAAGGTAAAAAGAAATAAAGGTACGCCCCCAAAGCATCCAAGTCATTGGACTAGGTTTCCTAAAATGGGGGTACCCCTGAATCACCAATTTTCGATTGGGATTTACCATCAAAAAAAACCATCCAGCTATGATCCCCCATGACTATGGAAGCCCCGAAATAGTTGAAAAACCATGGTTTTAGACTACCCCCTCCACAGGTCCCACCAAGGGCCTACATGTCCATGGCTTAAATGGGACGCCAAACGGAACAGGGACCACTGGGGCTTCAACTGGTCCCAATCAATGGGACCGAATCATCAAGATAGGTTATATCAATCCGCCGGCCTGCCGGCGTGTCTGATTGGAAGGTGTTGTTCTTGTTTCTGTTCTTGGTTTGTGCTTGTTTCTGTTCTTGGCTTGTGCTTGTTCCTTTGTTCTGTTGCTGCGCGTGTTTGCTTCGCCTGAATCAAGGTCACCCCCCCCCACTACTACTACCACTACTACCACTCCTACTCCTACTCCGACTCCTACGCCTACTCCGACGCCTACTCCGACTCCGACTCCTCTACTCCTCTGCTCCTTCCTCCCTTCTTCCCCACGTACTACACTGGTAGTGCTGGTAGCTCATGACATTGCCTACAGCATTACCGTCGTCTACAGCTACTCGTCACAGAATGCACACGGTACTGATCGACTAGGACTCATTTGGTATGCGTTCCATTGGTGGTGCCAGCACGCACCTGCTACTCAAGCTGCTTCTGATTTACGGCTCTGTCTTCGTCTCTTCTTCTCTCAGGCTTCCACGTAGCGTGCACGTCAACCTCCCTTTGGGGCAATCTCTCTCCCCTGTCTCCTTCCATGCAGCGGTCTGCTGTCAAGACAGAGGCTCATACATAGTACCTGGCGCCACTTTGCTGGGGCGGTACTACTTTGGTATACGGTCAGTAGGTTGTTACAGCATGTTACAGCAAACCTTGTTACACAAGCCGCTTCCGTTTTACGGCTTTGTCTTCGTCTTCCTTTCTTATTCTGCTCTTTCGCGGGCTTCCACCTAGAATGCACATCAAACTCCCTTAAGTGGGGCCACCTCTCTATGGCCGGCGGGCTTGCCGAAGGCAATTAAACAAATGACTATATATAGAGTCATCCCCAAATAGATGGAAAAGTAAATCCCTACTAAAAATAGATGGTGATTTACTTTTCCATATTTTTGGGGATTATATATATATGTGTATATAACATCATGAATGAGATAGGTATATGTATACAATTAAAGATATTTCAATATTACACAATGAATGAGCATAATATAAACATAAACAAACATCAAACATCATCAGACTATATAGGGGGATTTCATAAACACACAATGGCTATTTCACCAACACATATATAACATACTGGACATGGTTAGTATGGCAAGTGACGTTGAGCCCTGGCCAGAATGGACGTCATTTTTTGGATGAAATAATGGTGGGTTGAGAACGGGTTCCCATCATGGGTTACTTAGTGATCCTTTTACACCGGGTAGTATAACCTTGTATAATAACATATAATTACCAGCAAAATTACTAGTTGGGTCACTGCTCACTTGCCAGCAATGCTGGAGATGGTAGCAACTGACCATGGCAGCAATGCTGGCTTCTTTGTGGCTTGAAAACAACTGGCTGCGGCCGCATCCTGGTGACCTGGTGGCTGATCTCATGTCTCTGTCGCCCAGGAACAACGGATCAGTTAGAGTTTGAAGACTAATAGAGCCCCTCTGGTAAACGAACCGTTTGCGAACTTGAAAATGGCGGAAATCGTTGATAACTACCCATTCATGGTGATTTTCCTTTGTTTTTTGTTGGTTTACCAGAGGGTAGAGGGTTTATAGCTGGTTTATAGCTGGGAAAAGCATCCATAAATGGAGGATTCTCAATTGCCACGTCTGGTTAGCTGTATCTGATTGGTGATTTCAACCCATCCCAATACGAGAACTGCCTTTATTTATTTCGAGCGCTGAAGCGACGGACGAATTGATCAGATATCATGGCAGGACATAGTTTTTCGATGGGTCAATATCAAGGATCATAATCCTCCGCTTATTAATCTATATACAAGTTATATACATATTTACAGTATATACATGTATATACGGTATATACGGGGGGCTATCACTTACAATTCGGATTGTCACCATTTGGGGGAAGTCTTTATGGTGAACTGGGGAGTTCTTTATCCAGGGTGACATTGTTCTCTATATCTCTCTCTCCTCCTTTGGTTGAAATCACAAACCAGTCGTGGAATCATCTCCGTATCACTATTTGGTTGATAATTTTGTGTATAATATATATATATATATTGCGCTATATATAAATATATACTTACACATTGATTACAGTGATCTATCGCTGTAAATATTTATCCAACATTTATAACTACCATTCATCAATGATCAAACCATTCCGCCGCACGAGCTGCAACAATCATGACACATTTTCTTCGCCAGAGGGCATGTGGCCTGAGATGAAGTGAGATGACACTCATGAAATGGTGCCCTATTCATAGCTAAAAACCATATAGTAGCGATTTAAATATACAGCTATAGGCTATAGCCATTTAACACCATATAGCCTGTTCAACAGCTTATGACACTCATTGATTTTCAATGGCGAAATGATATGAACCATTTATTCTAACAATGAGTGTTTGGATGCTATATGATGATATGGTAATTGATATTGTAAATGATATTGTACCGTCTGAATGTTCATATGGTACACCATGAGATATGGCATCTTCTCTAAATTCTTTCTCCCAGGCTCGGACGCAATTCACCTTCACTGCAAACAGGACTTTTCCTTGAAATTAAATTCTTCTAACAGACATCAAGCATGAATGAAGAAAGTTGCCAATGATCAATTTCGATACTTGCCATGGTCTATGTTATTTTTTGGGGGATGGGAAAAGCCTTGAAAAAATAAAGGGTAACCCCTGAGTGGGATCCCGCCATGTCACATGATGGCGACGGATGCTTCGCCACGTCAAGTTGATGCGAGGCCTGCAGAAGTCATGGCAGGATATGTGTTGCCTGACAGATGCCGTAAATGATTGTATTGCTCTAATCCTTATTGGCACTGATAGATAAATAATGATAAATAGATCAACCATCTAAAGTTGTGATTTCATTATCCTTAAGTTCTGTTTTTTGTCATATGTGTTAATTTTAGCCCAAAATTCTGAGGCGCCCGGCCCCCAAATGTCAGTCTTTTGGGGTTCATTTTTATATTTGGCAACGTCATGACGTTGGCAACGTCTATGGTCCCCTACGAATGGTTAATGTCTGTCACGCTATCAGCAGTTGTTTGTATCTTCTGCAAATACCTCTGCAAAACAAGTACATCGCCAAGAAATTCATCTTGTCTTCAATAGTTTTTGAAAGGTTATCGTTATCACTACATATCACTACTTAATAGATCACATTTCACATATTTTTCACCAACATTTTCTGCCAACCAATCATTCGTGACACATTTCTGTGTAGCTCTTGGAATCCCATGACCCCATGGCTATGCCGCTATGCCGCTATGCCCGTTGATAAGCAAATTATTTGACCAAATTTACCGCAAACATGAAACATGATTTAAACATGATTAACATGTATCAACATGTATTAATCATGGTTAACCCATATCAAAGTAGATTATATAGTTAACTGAGTTTTTCCCAAGTAGTGAAACCTAGCAGCGCAATTTCTGTGAACATTCCTGGTTCGATCGTCCACCTGGTAACGCCACCAGCTTTGGGCACGCGATGATACCAGTGCTTCTGAAAACATCCCTGGCGCAGCACCCATAACTTGGGGACGGCAAATGGATAGAGAGATCATGGGGATATTCTGAAGATATAACACGAAAACATGGATTATTTAATGGGTTTTGTAGGGATTCAAGCAGAAAACATGCAGATATACAGTAAAACTCATGGGAGAATGTGATTGGGGATTCGGACCATCAATCATGGTGAAACATGCTTTATGTTTAGCCATCAAAGGTGGGGATTTAGCCAGCGAATCTCATGCGAAATAATGTTGGTCTCCTGGGATGTAAGGTGGCATCATATGGGATATATCAGCAACAATATGCTTCTGTCTGAAACTGTCGCCTCTGAATAGCCAGCAAATGCCAGCAGGAAATGAGCTTTTAAATCATGTTAAACCATCAAGTTGGGGAGGGTACACTAGACAAACCCACGTGCCCCAAGCAACACAGCCTCCATGGTGATCAGATCCCCATGCTGCAAATCCACTGAGACGCGTTCCAGGTGCTGCTGTGGGTTGCCTGCAGCGCCAAAAACCAAAAAACTAGGACATTTGAGGGGGAAAAACCGGGAACCAAAAAAAACACATGTGCATACATAACATAACATAACATAACATAACCTAACGTAACCTAACCATACCATACCATACCATACCATACCATACATACATACATACATACATATGTGTATATATATATATATCTATTGGTAGCTAATGATGATTTATGGTGATTGAATGGTGATTTAAAACGAGGATTAGTTGGACATTCTGTGGATTTCCATGGGGATTTGTCCAAGAATTAGGTCCCGAAAATCTGATCCCATACCTTGGCTTGGGTGATAGTTTCAACTTGGCTGGGGGGGAATGGTTCCTGATTTCTAGTGGTAAAATATGGTAAAATATGGTAAAATATCAATCATTGCAAATTGAATTCCATTCATAACCATTACCCCTCCGTCAATCTAACGTAGCTACGGAAGCCATGGCCCATTTTGTTCCAAGATTTACCTCTGACTCTTAATAGTGATTTTGCAGTTCGCAAAGTGTAAAAAATTGCCAGAGGGTAAGAAACAAAATCATAGGCAGGTTGGTGGTTTTGACCCATCCCCCAAATATTGATAAATATTGGTCATATTAATCAATCATCCCAGTCGTATGGTTGAAAAAACACGACATATTTAAAACCCCCAACCAGTAGACAGGTCATCCACCACCTGTCTCCGGGCGACCACACTCAAGCCACGGCGCCGGCGCAAGTCAAAGCGTCGCGTCTGCAAAAATCGGGTGGAAACCATGAAGAGTTCACCAACCATCGGGTGGGCCATGGCCATGGTGGCCATGGCCATGGTGGCCATGGCCATGGGATTAGCCATTCCTGGTAGAGTTTTTGTGGTCTGTAAGCCAGGAACTATCTCAACTGTAATCAACTGGCTAATCAACTAACTCCATGGCCAAGGCAACCGGGAATTTAAGCGACCGAAATGGATCGGAGATTGGTGTTGGAGAGAATTTTCCGATCTGGGCACTTTTTGAGGCAGGCCTGTTGGGATACCATGCTTTAACTCATGTTTGAAAATGGCTGTCACCACTGCCGCAATGTCGAATATGGTCAAAGGTATATAATACATCTATACATCTATATTATATATATATATATATTATGTATATATATATATATAATTGTATATATAGAACCAATGTCTTTTGTTTAAGCCGGTGGCATTTTTTGGGTACCCGGTGGCCCACAGACACAGTTTGGACAACCCGAAAAGCCGACGACCCTCCACGAGCCGCAAGCCTCCCCCAACGAAAGGCTTACAATGCGACCTCGGAGGGCAAAGCCCTCTTTCTTTCGTACCACTAGATTCACTACCCTCTGGTAATTTAACATAGCTATTGAAAATTGCCATTTATTCTGGATTTACCCATTGAAAATAGTGATTTTCCATAGCTATGTTAAATTACCAGAGGGTAGATCATGAGTGATATCTTGATCGCATGTTTTTCTCAAGAAAACTTGGAAAGTCCAACAACATTCTATAGTTAAACCATGTTAAACCTCAGTGTTTGATGGTAATAATTTGGGGTTCAATGCTTATATGATATTAAACAAAAAAACCTGAATATCAACTAATATTGTATATTATGGTTGATTCATGCTGATTCTACATCCCATGATATTCCATCATATCCATCATTGTCCCATCTTTAATTGGTTCAATCACTCGAATCATCTATTCTTAAGATGGAGCCAAGTGCGGTCCTCGCATCCCATCCGATGCCTCTGAGGTTCCAAGCAATCACCCAGCAGCCCTTCAAAGAGAGGCTCATTGTCGGCGTGCCAATCCTGCGCAAAGGTGCGTCTGGTCTTAAGGAGACTTCGTTTGGCGATGAAATCTGTTGGATGGTTTTATTCTAATCTCCTTACTCAATACACGGAAACAGTCAATTGGGACAGAAAGGAACAGCATCAAACACGGTCACTGGGGATATCTCAAGTCAGGATTATAATTGCAATTGCCAATGCTTGAAACCAACCAGGAATGCATTTCAATTTATTTCAATCAAAGCACGATTAGGGTATGCTTTTATATTTCTAAACCGCCTACTTGTACCAGACTTCCAAACATCTGCAAGTCAAATCATGTAAAGTGGGCTTGAAAGTAGGCATCGTCCAATACACATCAATACACAAAATACCCTCGTAATCAAACGTGGCTGGCTGGAAAATCCTCATAATCCTCTATAAATGAAAGTTGTGGACTATAAAATCCTCATAATCCTCTATAAAATCCTCAATCCTCATAATCCTCAAAAAAATTCCATCAACAAAAAAGTTTGTGGAAGAGTTCGTGAAGGCCAACCTTTGCACATCCCCGGAGATAACCAGCGGCGCTCCACAGATTCCATACCATCGGCGTAGAGGTTTGCGACGCAGCTGTTGGGACGCTCAACACCTGCCGCACGACTGAGGGGGTCGCTGAAAGATGCCAGAAGCCCCATGATTTTTTTGGGTAAAAACCTGCTTTTTTTGCTGTTGAACCCAGGGTAAATTCGAACTTTTAAGGTGGTGCAGGTTAAATTTGATAGTGATTTAGATTATGTCCAAAGATTTGGATTTTATGTCCAGAGAAATATACGTGCCAATGCCCTGGCTATAGTAGCTGCATTTTGATAATGGCGAAAATCAATTTCTTCAAAGTTCTCCTGTATACGTGAACACTGTTTGTTGTTGGCAACTTGGAAAAGATTCAAACTTCAACTGGTTGGTGGTTTTTACTTCCCTGAAAATATGAAAGTCAGATTGGATCATCATCCCAACTATTATGGAAAAAAATGTTCCAAACCACCAACCAGTTAAAATCTTATCCCCGTTTGGGGATGGTGTCCAAGAACTCTCCATTGAGGTGACTCGTTTGGTGCAGCCCGCCAGTGCATCATTTGACATTTCTACCGTAGGAATCCCGCGCTGCTTGGTAACGTTGTCATCAAAATATGTTGTGCATGTTTTTTCTATGAATCACAAACATTGACAAACATGAAATGCACATTACATATTTAAGACTATTCTCTCCCTATGAAGTAGCATCTATGGTGAGGTCGTCATGAGGTCGTTATACTCTCATGTATGGCCATCTGAAGAGGGAAAATGCTTGTCAACCACTAAATCCTTGGATACCGTTCAAACGAACCCAAATTCGATGTTTGAATCATAGAAATGGATTATGGGAAAATTTACTGGTTTAAGCCCTATATTTGATGGTAAAAACCAATGGTTTCCTGTATTTTTTCCCTTAAACCAATCCAGTGATTGAAAGGTTCCACGTTTAGCATTTAATATGCTTAAAATGAAGGGTTTGATCATCAATCCTCAAAATCCACCGGTAAATCTGAGCAAGACTGGCTATAGGTGGTGCCTACGAGTTTTCTAAGTTGGTTACCCTCTCGTAAACATACAAAAAACTATGGAAAATCACAATGTTTAATGGGGAAATCCACTATAAATGGCCATGTTCAATGGCTATGTTAGTTTACCAGAGGGTACTAACACTCCAAAAACTAGGAGTGTATGATGTTTATGGTAGAGATCTCTATAGATTCAGTAGCTAATGTTGGTTATGTTTCCCAACAAACACAACTGCGTCCACCACCTGTTGTGCACAAAGCATGCCAAACTGCATCTTCTACCTGGGATGGCGCAGGGCATCTCTGGGGGATGTTTGGTGATTTACCATCTGGTAAACTAGCATAGCCTGCAGCATAGCTATTGAACATCATGATTTATAGTTGTTTTATGTTGATTTACCTATTGAAAAGATGTGATTTTCCTATATACTGCGAAAAATGGAGATATGCCATGGGATTTGGCCTGGCGAGCAGAACACATTATGTATTTGGGAATTTGATGGGATATACCCTCTGGTACTGTAACATAGCCTAGGTAACAAAAATAACCCATGTGTAGATGATTCATTTATTCAACATGATAAAAACTGCTCGAGGGTCTTTCGACGACTTGATATCATATTTGGATGTGACGTGAACATGCAGACATTATCCCCAAAAATTGCTAGTGGATGATAAGGGAAATGGTGATAAACCAGCAAATGGAATGGCTTGAGATCCAAATGTATGTTGGTTTCTAGATGTTCTCCTTTCTGTCGGGCAATAAACGCATGGCATGTCATGTCCTACATTTTAGCTGCTTCGGTCTGAAACCTTGATGGTTTCTTTTTCATATTTGGTTGGATAATACCCATTGATGTTTTTTGTTGCTAGTTTGGATAGTGCCATGTATGATCCCCAGAAAACAAGTCGAAATATCATGTGTTTCGTGGAGAACAGCACAATACTAGTTGCAAAATACCAAAAAATGAAGCACCCAATTTACACCTCATTTTGCAGATACCCTCTGGTAATTCAGCATTGCTTTTGAAACAAAAACACTTTAATAGGTAAGTCATCTGTAGGTGGGCCGTTTCAATAGCTACCTTAGATCACTCAAGAATAATAATCCATACATATTGTCGTTTCGCACCAATTTTGTGGGTGCCGTGGGTGCACCCTCCCTGGCTGAGTAAGCCACCCCTCACCTCTGAAAGCCAGTCAGGCACTTCTACAGCTGGCCTTCAGCAAAGAAAAATGCAGTGGTCATTGTTACTTCAAGAAGAATTACCCAAATCTTAATTGTGGGGTGTAAAATATCAACATATAATATATATATATACTAACAAAAGGTGCTGGGGATGTGTGAAATTTAAGATGTTCTTGAACAGTTCAAGTAAGTACAAATTGTTATAGTTGAATTATGTAAAGAAAAGGATGCCTATAAATACACCCGGACTAAAAATGGGAATCTAATATGTGGTTATACTAAAAAATCAGTGTATATATATATATATATGCATATGTATATATATATATATATATTTAATGAGCCCTTACATGGAACCCCAAATGAACAGATTCACCTCTAGACCTTTCTCTTGGGACATTGCTAGTCATTGCTACCTGGTCCGTGGTTTCAATGTGTCTTCAGGTGCCACTTGTGGCCACAAGACGGCGACCCCCAGTTCGAAGTTGGCTAAGAAAACCCCTGTACCTATAGTTGTATCTACCATAAACCATAGTCAACCTAGTTATAAACCATATCTTAAACCCTATAGTTATTGGAGTTATAAACCATTATAAACCCATCACATGGATCCCCACCATTCGATTAAGTGCATTTCCAGGTTCCAACACCGACTCCAAAACTGTGCGCCCAACCATGCAGTCGCATTGTACTCGTAGGAGCAGCTGCAGCCTTTTCGCACAAACCTGAGATTTGAAGCTTGGAAATCCCTTGCCCCCAGCAACAAACACTATTCTGTAATTAATCCAGGACCCAAAAATGAACAGACAGAGTATACTCAACCAGGGTTGCGGGCGGGGTTTTCCTCTGTATTGTCACTGGGGAGTAGATTGCTGGTAAATGATGGTAAATGGATATCAATCGCCAGTTCTCAATCACAAAAAAGTGGATCTGTTTGAACGAAAAAATCACTGACCACCTACAGGATGGGCCCCAGTTATAAGTTGGTTTATAAACCATGAAATAAACCCCAGTAACTATAGTTGTATCTACCATAACCATAGTTTTCAGCCACTTTTCTGTTCGGCGTTTCGGTTCACGCGAGCTCGACTGGGTGCCAACACCAAGCTGCAGAACGTGGCAATAATCGGCCATTGGGTAACCTCAGCCGCAACAAATCGCGAGATCGTGATGTTTCTATCAACATGGATGTATGGATATGTAATATGTGTATCAGTTATCATGTATATATATATATATCATATCATATATATATATATATATATTCATACACGAGATGCATACACTGAAAATGAGCAAGCATGTATGTATAGACATATACTGTATAATGATTCGATGTATAATGTGAACTTTCATATCCACATGCATGTAGATTAAAGCTGATACTTGGGCCACACAGAATGCGGAGGGCTAATTAAACGTCTTGCCACCAGCTCATGAGCTGAAACACACCAAACGCTTGGTGACTATGTATGTGTCGATCTTGATGCGGTACTTACTGTACTGCAAATATTGACATCAGAAACATGAGATTTGGCTTGGTGATTTCAAACCCTGACATGTTTTGTTTCGAAGTTTGGAACAAACTAATTACTCTACTCTGCAATGTGAGCATCGTCTGTCTCCATAGGCAAACTCTGCCTATAAAAGTTCGTTGCATGTAAAGTCAATGCTTCCCACAGTCTTTCTAGATACGTGGCTCACTAAGACTGATTCCCTTGGCCGCACCCAAAGTGACCTGTACCAATCTTTACCAACAATTCGTTCAACAAAAAAGGCAGAGCAAATTGTTTTGTGATACTTTCAAATAATATCAGCCATCAAAATCGGTTGTTTTGTGTACTAAGTTCCAGTCATATGTCCATCAAGATCCGGTTCTCTATATCAACCACAAAAATTAGCCATCAACTCATCGGATATCAACTATTCACATCTACTAACCAACTAAAATCAGTTGTTTTGAACCATCAACATCCTGGTTGGTGGTTTTAACCATCTTGAAAAATATGAAAGTCGATGGGAAGGATTATCCCATATATTATGGAAAATAAAAAATGTTTGTGTGGTGACGGAAATACCACTACACTTTTTTGTAACCCCGTTTTCCTTTTTTCAAATGGAATTGGAAGCTGAAGCGCTTCATGGTCCTTAGGGATACAGAGAAGATTAGCATGGCACCTGGCAACTGACTGCCAAACGTGATGTATGGCTCAAGAAAAGAGCTTTGCTTCAGGTGCAGGGCTCCCCGGTTGCTCAGGTTATGAGCCCAACTTGACCCGGGTGTTGCCATGCTGTCCACCATGCGGCGCCGAAATTCGAGGCCGAGGGAGGGGGACACGCAACATGGAGCACCTCAACGTGAAGATCAAGCTCGCGGTCCCCCTCCCCGGCGTGGTGAAGAACGTCTGGAAGTTGGTGCAGCCGATAGAAGGTTGGATGCGCTGATAGAGGAGGAAAGGGGTCGAGCTGTTTCCCTTCCAGCTGGGCCAGGTGTGAAGCGGTTGGAAGTGGCAGGAGGGAGAGCTCAGTCGAGCCAACTGATGGGGCAGCTGCAGGGTCCAGTGATGGGACCACAGCCAGTGCCAGATGCGCTGAGTGACCCCAGGGCAGAGGCGATGGGATTGGGAGCTCTTCAAGATGCGGTTCGGCATTCTTTTGGACTATTGCAACAAGCACTTGGACGTCCAGTTCCTCAGCAAGGTCTACTTGGTCCTCTTCTTGGGGGAAGCGATTCTGGAGCCAGACAAGGAGTCGTTCCTAACACCGGAGGGGGTCCATTGCTTTTTGCATCGCCTGGCGCTGTGCAGGGTTCTCGTGGTGCAGAAGGGGAACGTTCAGGACATCTTGATGGCCGTGTTGCAAGTGGTTCAGGACGGAATGATGGTTTGAAGACGCCTGGAAGTGGGCAGCCTGACAGGCACGGAGTGGAGCCTCGGGTTCTTGATCCCTATGGAACTCCAGCTCAAGGGGCCAGTCAGGGAGTGAATCCTTTTTGGAGTGATGGGGTGCAGCGTGCAGTTCACAGCCAAGGTGATCACGGTGCAGCCAGCGGCAACAATGGTGTGCAGAGCTTCGATGCAGAGGTCGAGAAGCTCAAAGCGAAGTGCTTGCGTGAAGCCGAAGAAGCTTTTGCAAGGGAGGTCAAGAAGCTTGGAGTGGCCGAGAAGACCGAGGCGGAGTCCTATCACACTGCTTCCAGTTCACAGGGCATGCAGAAGGTGCCAAATGGAAGTGGAGGTGCTCCTGCAGATGGTCGAGCTCGAGGCGCACCTCAAGGTCCAGAACCTCCACCAGGATTGACTTCAGTTCGGATTGGTTTTGATGGGACGGTGGGTCCAACTGTTTCAGAATCTCTTCGTCACCTTGAACTTCCTGCTTTGCCTGTGGTGGGATCGGATGGTGCTGCCCTCCAATTTGGAGATTGGATGACGATGGCCTTCCCCTTGATGTCTGACTTGGGCATTTCAGCGAAGGGCTGGTGGGAGAGATCAGTGGCAGCTGCAGAGGATTTTTATGGAAGGTGGTTGGAATCCACTCCGCTGGAGCGCTTGAGGTTGAAGCCGCAGGTGGAGGTGGACCCAGGGTACATGAGGTTGGAACAGCGAGGGATTGCGATGTTGCTGAGCATCCTTCCTGAAGCTCTTCGACGCGACATTGTGGGAGCTCGCAACGTGTCCACGGTTGCCATCCTCTACAGGCTCTTTGTGGTTTTCCAGCCGGGTGGTGGTGCAGAAAGGACATCACTTCTGAAGTCCCTGACGGAGATCCGAATTGGCACAACGATTCATGACGTGCTTGGGACGATTCGCCTTTGGAGGAGGTGGGTGTCCAGAGCTTTGGAGCTGAAGGTGGCGATCCCGGACCCCTTGATTTTGATGCAGGTCCTTGGACGGATGTCGGACGCTGTGGGGAAACAAGGAGGTGCACAGGTAGCCTACAGACTGGCGTCGGTTCGCCAGGAGCTTCAAGTTGATCAAAGACTTCTACTCCATGCTGTTCAGGAGTATGCGGAGTTCTTGCAGGCGGAGGCAGAGGATTTGAGTTTGATGTTGGCTGGGCCGAAACCTTCATCCACGACGGTGCCACCAACGAGCTCTTCGACAGGAGCTGCTGCTCCAGCTGCGGTGAAGGCAGTTGCTTTGGGTGGAAGTGGTTTGGATGAAAAGGGGAAGCCAGTTTGCAAGTTTTGGGGTACCACTGGTGGCTGCCGACGTGGTGAGTCATGCACGTACTCTCACAGCTGGGACGGCATCAACAAGGATGGACGATGCTATGGATGTTCAGCGGAAGGGCACATGAAGAAAGATTGCCCCTATCGGCAGAAGGATGGAGGTTCTCAAAGGACACCAAAGGTCTCAAAGGTCAAGGGCGGTTCCAAAGAGAAGGATTCACCTGAGAAGGCCAAGGACGACGTGGTGGTTGGGAATGGCTCCGAAACTTCTTCACTGCCGAGCCCTATGTCCTTGAAGACAACTACACCATCAGCGGAGGAGACGAGGAGCCAGAGTGCAGGGAGTCAGAGCTCTGACGCCACTTCCTCGCTGATTGACGAGGCGACAGTGCTGTTGAAGACCCTTCGATCAATGAAGTCGATGAAGGTCAAGCAGATCAACTACAGCCCATGTGAGGATCATCAACTGGTCGCACTTTTGGATGGAGGGGCGACTCATGGCTTGCGGACAGCTGAGGTTTGGGAAAGGAAGGATTTGGAACCTGTGCAGGTGGAGCTTGCTTCGGGGTCGACATGGTTGTATCGCCACAGAAGCCACCGCACGCTGCTCAGCTTGGAGGATGTGGAGCCGATTGTGCCGCTTCACCGACTTGTGGCGATGGGCTTCAAGATTGAGTGGACGTCGAAAGGTTGCCGGATCTTCCACCCTTCCAGAGGAGTGATTGCTTGTTCTCTTAGAGGTGGATGCCCTATCATGGATCGAGGCGATGCTCTTTTGCTGCTGAAGGAAATGGAGAAGGTTGATGGATCTTCGCTGGATGTGGATGTGAACGAGTTCAAGTGGTGGCAGGAGAATTTCCCGGAGGTGCCTGACCGCATCATCAGGAAGTTGGTGGGCTCAGTTGAACCTTGGGACCCCGCTGCATTGCCCTGGAATCGGCATCAACGCCGGGCACATCAGAAGAAAGGCGTGGCCCTTCATCTTTTTTGTGGCCCCAATGTGAGAAAATGGAAGGACTGCGATGTGGGCGGGTTGGAGTGGCTTTGCGTCGACACTTGCCTTGGTTCGCAGTACGATTTGCACAGGCCTGCAGTGTGGAGCTACTTGTGGGGGCTGGCCAACAAGGGCCTTATCAAGCTGATTTTGGGTGGGCCACCTTGTCGGTCCGTTTCACGTCTACGTGACGGGCCTCCTGGACCTCGCCAAGTACGTGGCCGTGGAGCTCAGCGATATGGCCTTGATGGGCTGGATCCCACGGAGGTTGAACTTGTGGAAAACGACACATGCCTCCTTTTGAAGCAGGTGGGCTTGTGGCTGAAATCGGAGCAGGTGAGGGGAGAGCAGGGCTACGAGACTGGATTCTTGTTTGAAACCCCTCAAGACCCTGAATCCTACCTGCCTGAAGAAGAAGGACGAGCACTTCCTTCCTTTTTGGAGTTCCCCGAGATTCGAGCTTTGGTGGAGGAGCACAACATGGAGTTGGTGTCCTTTGATCAAGGACGAACGGGTCATGAAAGGAGAAAACCGACCAGTTTGGTCACGAATCTGCCTGGAATGGGGCAGTTGAATGGTCTTTGAGGAGGTGGATCCACCGAAGGCGTTGGACCAGAGCTTCAGGATCGCATCAGATGCTCAAAGACATGGGCGGCGTGGTCTCCAGGCTTGGTGGCAGCGATCCAGGAGTCCTTGAAGATCCGTGCACACCTCATCAAGGAGATGGCCGAGCAGATGGAGGTGAAGAAGATGGACCTGAGCGCATGGAAGCGTCATGTGCAGAATCAGCACCGACCCTACAGAAGGGATTGCAGACGGTGCTTGGAGATGATGGGCTCTGATGGACATCACCGTCGCACGGCGGGAGATCGGGCGAGCTATTGCCTGACCATGGACATTGTTGGACCAATGCCAGTTGGTGAGGATGTTGGCACTGGCGAGAAGTCCAAGTACATGATGGTGTCCACCATTGCCATTCCTCGCATCCCCTTGGAAGGTGATCCCAAAGGTCCTGCAGATGTGGAGGAGGATGACACATTGCCTAAGCTTGAGGCAGAGGAGGACGAGCCGGTGGAGAAAGCGACTGATGACGAGGTCAAAACGTTGAATCAGAAGTGGATGGATCATGTGAAGGACCTGGCAGACCCAGTTGGTGTCCAGAACCTCACCTTGGTTGAGCCCTTGCGGTCCAGACACCGAGAAGATGTCATCAAGGTCGCCTCCAAGCTCTACTGTCGTTACCGGGCGATGGGTGTTGCTCCTTTGAGGATTC